TGCTTGGCGAGTCCGCCTCGGCCCAGTTTCTTCTAATTTTGTGAAACGAATGGGTTGGGCTTTGCATTTACATTTGGAATAAGTTCACATGAGATCCCTCTATTTATCGCCCAGTTCGATTTTTCGTCGCTAGACCGCAAAACCGGGTACGACCCGTCCCCCAACTTACGAAAACCGGGCACACGAGATCCTTCAGTGATTTTGAAGGTAGTTTTGGCTGACGTGTCGCCTACGTGGTTTATTTGACTAGGTCTCCGTCCCACGTGGCATTGACGTGGCGCTTACGTGGCAATTATATCTTAAAAAAAAAATAAAAACCATGGGCCCACCTATCAGCTACACACAAAAAAAATTAAAAATAGTGAGACCCACGTGGGCCCACATATCATTCCCTTTCCTACTAGCTCTCCCAGAGCGGCGCCGGCGGGAACTCCGTGGGCGCGCCGCCCCGCTCCAGCACCAGCACGCGGCCGCTGCCAGGACCGGCCAGCATCACGGTGAGCAGGCACCCGCCGTAGAGGAGCCACGGGGAGCTAGAGCAGGCACCCGCCGTGCTGCCCGTCGTCTTCGTCGTGTCCCCCTCGAGGAGGGGACCGACCTCGCCGCTGCCGTCGCGCACAAGGGCTCCAGCTTCTACGTCCTTGCCGGCCTCCGCCGTGAGTGCCACGGCCACCGCTCTCGCCGTCCTCCGCCACGAGCGCACACGACGACGGTGGTGGAGGCGGGTTGCGGCGGAGAGCTTGTGCTGCTCCCTCCTCTCCCGCCGCCGACGCCGTCGCGCACCGCTCCCTCTTCTCCCGCCGACGGCCATCGGGGAGAAGGGCGGCTGATGGCTAGGCGAGCTCCCTGGCCTACCGGCGACCACTCTTCTCCATCTCCACCGCCGTCGTCATCGTTGGCCGCATCCTCCAGCGCAAGAAAGATGAAGAGGGGAGAAGGGGAGAGAGGAAGCAGAAGAGGAGGGTGAGTTAGACTGACATGTGGGCCCACGTGGGCCTTGCTATTTTTAAATTATTCTTTTGTGTGTAGCTGACAGGTGGGTCCACGGTTTTTTTAAGATATAATTGCTACGTAAGCGCCACGTTAATGCCACGTGAGACGGAGAACTAGTCAAACAAGTCACGTAGGCGCCACGTCAGCCAAAACCGCCGAGGGACCTCGTCTACCCGGTTTTCGTAAGTTGGGGATGGGTCATACCCGGTTTTGCGGTCTAAGGGACGAATATCGGACTGGGCGACAAATAGAGAGACCCAAAACGAACTTATTCCTTTACAATTTGGTAACAACCTGCCGAAGGGCCAAGGGCCAACCAAGACAAAGTTATTCTACACAATCAGATGGCCCAAACTTCTCGTCTGTTGAATTTGCTGGACTGATCTAAAAAATAGTACTAAACGACAACGAGGACAAGGAGCTGGAGCTTCAGGACGTCATTCTCATTGGGGGGCACGCTTTGGAGTATGTTTGGGCGCATAAACTGGTTAATAGGAGCAGAATTTCGAAGCAAAGGCATACTGATAGAAAGTTCAGAAATGAAAAGATTGCCTCAAAGCATCGTACCTGAAGATAACCTGAGGCATCATCCATCCCACATACTCATACTACTGCATGAACACCAAGCAACGCATCGAAACACGTGGCTTAAATGCAAGGACCAGAAAGACAATACGACATGGCATCAAGCAGCGATTACTCCGTTGAGGCTCACCGATCTACTGTCCACATACGCATAAATGTGTCAGAGCGTCAGGTCGGTTCTTGGATGGCATAATAAACGCGTGGAATTAGCGAGATTGCGACGTATATACAGTAGTCATACTAGTAGCACGGCCGATCCACAGGATCGAGCTGCAGGCATAGGCTGCCACAGTGCCACGGTATCGTCAGTCATGCTGCACTGTTGATAGTACAAGTAGTAGTACTCCTGGCCACCGACATTTCTGCACTGTCCCTTTCTGGGACTAATGCAAATGGGAATTGTGGAATTGGCATCTACTAGCTGGTATTTCGTGTAGGCAGAAATAATGCATATTGCTCCTAACCACCTCTTTAGTACTCCGGAGTACATCGGATGAACCAACAAAACTAGGATTCTTTTGAATCACACGAATTTTGTAAAAAAGAAAGACTTGGAAAGAAAATCACATTTCAAAATGGGTTCAGTCAGTCAGATGACCGTTTTAGATTGATGCCAAAACATACCCTATAAATTTATCGGTAGCTCAGATCATAAATGTGATAGTTTGGTTTGATGTCAACTACTCCTATTTGGTAATGCCTATGCTTTATTTGACACAATTTTTAGGTGGTGTTTGAATCTAGGGACTTAACTTTAGTCTCTATATTTAGATACTAATTTAGAGTATTAAATATAGACTACTTACAAAACTAATTACATAAATGAAAGCTAATTCGCGAGACAAATTTTTTAAGCCTAATTAATTCATAATTAGATAATGTTTACTGTAGCATCACATAGGCTAATCATGGATTAATTAGGCTCAATAGATTCGTCTCGCAAATTAGTCCAAGATTATGGATGGGTTTTATTAATAATCTACGTTTAATATTTTTAATTAGTGTCCAAACATCTGATGTGATAGGGTCTTAAAAGTTTTAGTCCCATCTAAACAGGGTCTTAGAACTTTATTCACTCTATTATAAGATTTGGCTCAATATTGTTAACAAACCAAACATTGACAACAAAACTTTACCCCTATCAACGATTTGGTAGTGCAAAATTTTACTGCCAATATACTGGAATTTGGAAGGGTTGAGAACCAATGGACTATAAAGACATTAATTAATTAGATCTCCCTTGAAGTGTGGTTTATAAAACACATGAATTAAAGAGTTTGTGTTTGGAAGATATGTAGGAAATGAAATATAGAAATTTAGAAGAAATTGTTTTTTTATGAGTGTGTGCGCGAGAGAGAATGCATGGGGCTTCTCATATAAAAATAAAAGCATGAAGTATGAATTCGTTTAGTTTGGTATGAGAAGCAAATTGTTAGTTTTTTTTGTCAATCATATTCCTTCGTTTCAAAGAAAAAAAAGACGTGGATATTAGGGAATGGCTTAATCATATTCCTTCATTTCAAATAAAATGATAGGATTTTTTTCCCAAACAATTGAGATCCACCAAACTTGTGTTGAAATCACTTCAATCCAAATGAGTCCTAAGATCTCCGATCACATATCTCCCTACAAGGATTTACAAAACTAACGAGAACCTGTTGGTTTTCATGAGAACTAGATTTCTTGGTCCAGCTCGAGGACACAAACTACTCGGTTTAGCAGAAGTTTTTTTTATAAAATAATCAAATTAATTTTAATTTTTGACAAAAAGATGGTTGTGTTTCACCTGTAGCCAAAATTTTTAAAACACACTGGACCAAGTTTTGTGAATGGTTTGTTTATGTGAACTCCACCCCCTTTTGTTCTGCGGTACCATCGTGAGAAACGGTGTACACGTTGATATTTATATACATGTCCATAAGTTCGGGCTACCAATTAACTCATGCCAACTTTCCAATTGAGGACATTGTTCAGGGTCCAGGGTAGCAGCCAGCCGGTGCTTGCTAAACGCATTTCCCAAGTTTATCACTAGCTAGACTAGTACAGAAGCGGGATTAACCGGACCTACCCGTGTCTCCTCCTCAGCACGCACACCTATTCGCCTAGCCAGACACGCGCGACCAATTGCGCCCGATCGATGGCCCGCGGACCGCGGAGAGGAGAGAGAGCACGAGACCACCACCACGCGGGACCTGCCGCGCAGCGTGTCATTGCCCACGTTTCCACGCCTGAAAAATCCCCCTCCGTTTTCTAATTCTACCGGTAAATCCCCCTGCACGATCTCACTCACATTCTCACCACCACCACCACCACGCAAGTGGAAGGAAGTACTCCTACACAACCTGCGCGCGCTGCGCCGGCAACCAAACCGGTCGTGCCGTGGCGTAGCCGCGGTGCGCGCGGGACGACCGAGCGCCGCTCCGGGATCGGGGCCGCTTTGCACGTGACGGCGCGAGCCAAGGCAAAGCAGATGCTTGACGTGCGGATTAGAGTATACAAAACCATCCATCCATTCCATCCATCTACCCGCAAGAGGACTGGAAAGCGGACAAAAGAGAAGCCGAAGGCCAAGCGACCAGCAGACCATGCTACACGTGGGACCCAACATGGGAAAACAAAATACTCCTCTATGAAATTATATTCTCCTCTTCCTAATGTAGTACTGCGTGATGATTCAGTACATACGATACGCAGGAGACATGCAGCCCCCACAGTAAAACGCTTTCGACTAAAGCTAATCGAGCACTAACAAAGGAGGAAAAAAAATAAAGATTGGTATTTGAAGATCCAATCCCAGCAAGAGAAAGATACAGATTGTTAATGGTTCTGTAAAGAGAGAAAAGAAGCAGGCACTAAGCAACCCCAGGGCAGCATCCAACGACGGATTGCTTTGTGCATTGTCAATCAGTACATCCTCTTTAAATAAAAATGTACTAGTAATAAATCAGTACATTGCGCGCGCGACCCAAACACGGTAGGAAAGGCCCAGGCTTTAACCGGGAAGCCCCACATGTCAGTGAACGCAACCTGATTAGTTTAAGCCACCGGAATGCTGTTCGGCGACACTGATGTTCACATCAACTGGATGGTTGGTACGCAAAGTATAGGATTCCAGTTCAGAATGTGTCTTGTGTGGAATATTTTCTTTCCTTCGCTGAGCACCAACCTACCACAACCTAATTGTTTAACTCATTAATTTCTCCAGAGGCAACAGGACTACATGATATCTTTATACCATCTAAGTTTTTTACACTACCAGCTACATAATGTTGAGTTTTTTTTAAAGAAGAAAAATAAAGGTCCATCTAATCTAAAGTATGGTTTCTTGGTGAGTGAGTGACTGAGTGGGTACCTACAAATAAAAAGAGGAGGAAATGCTGCGAAAGAGAGGGGAAAAGAGGGAAAAGAAGCAAAACGGAAAGCAGATTCTGATGCCACGTGTGAGGGAGACCGTTGATCTCCACCGATGGATTGCATATGGTACAACTCCGAAACCGAAAAATGGCGGCTTTCTTCCTCTCTCTCCCCTCCCTCCCCTTCGCTCACTCTCTCTCACTCTAGAAAGCAGCAGCAGCTGCTGCAGCTGCCTTGGTTGGCTCGATTTTAATTTTTTGTTTTTCTTTTCTTCTGCTGTCAATGCCCCCCGCCATCGCGCGATTCGTCGCGATCGCGGCGGTGTTGCTGTGTGGCCATGTCGCGGTGGCCGCTGAGTCCGGCGGTGTCGGCGGCGGCAGTGCGAGGAGGGTGCTGCATCAGCCCCTCTTCCCCATTGAGTGGACTCCTCCACCATCGCCGCCGCCGCCGCCTGCACCGGATTTTACCTCCGACCCCAGCACTCCGCCGGCGCCTGACGCGCCTTCCGGCGACTTCTTCCCTCCGGCGCCACCGACCACGACGACGCCGACGAGCCCCGGAACGACTCCCTCCCCGACCACCGTCGCCGCCGACGTCTCGAAAACTCCGTCGGGGTCCGGCTCGGGACACCACGGAGGCGGCCCTACGAAGGCGACCATAGTCGCTGCCGGGGCGGGCGCGGCTGCCGCCGTCGCGCTGCTCGGCTTCGCCTGCGCGTTCCTGATCACCGGCCGCGCCCGCCGCCGCGGCGACTCGCAGAAGCTGCTCGGCCCCGACCGTGCCGGCGCGCATCGCAGCGCCGCCACCTCCGCCGCCGACTTCCTCTACGTCGGCACGGTGGAGCCCACCACCCCCGCGCGCCACCACGGGCCCACCACCGCCGATCTCGTGGGGTCCCCGTACCGCAAGCTGCGCAGCGAGCGGGCGCGGCGCGGGGTGAGCCGCGACGAGGACGCCGACCACCCGAGCCCGGAGCTCCGCCCGCTCCCGCCGCTGCGGCGCGCCGCAACGCTGGGCTCCTCCGACGAGGACGGGTACTACACGCCGCGGCAGCTCTCCGGGGGCTCCGGTGGGGGCGGCGCCGCCGAGGCCTGGAGCTCGGCGAGCGCGTCCAGCCCGCCCACCACCACCACGGCCTCACGCCGCAGCCTCCCCAGCATGACCAGCGACTTCTTCCCCCCGGTCGCTGCCATCGCCGCGCCACCCGCCCCGCCCCCCGCGCGCTCCCGCCGCACGCCCCCGCGCACGCGCTTCTCCACGGGCTCCACCCCCGACACCAAACAGGTGACCTCGCCGTCACCGCGGCCGGTGCAACCCTCCAATGCACCCCCACCTCCACCTCCACCGCCACCTCCCCCACCACCACCGCCACCGCCGAAGTTGAATACAGCGCCGAAACCACCTCCACCACCACCACCACCACCATCCGTGCCGTCAAACAACAATCTCCCAAAGCCGGCGGAGCCGCCGGCCGTGCCGACATCGAGGCGCCGGTTGCTCAAGCCTCTGCCACCCGAAGGGCCGCGCATTGCCATGCCGATGCCGATCACCGCGGCGACGACGGTGGACAACAACGGGAGCACGTCAATGCGGGAAGGGGACAACGCCGCCGCCGACGACGGGGGCAGCGGCGAGCCCCGGCCGAAGCTGAAGCCGCTGCACTGGGACAAGGTGCGGGCGACCTCCGACCGCGCCATGGTCTGGGACCAGCTGAAGTCAAGCTCATTCCAGTTGAGATTTGGTCCACACTACTGAATGCCGTGATTGCTACAGGTTTGGTCTTTGAATTACGCGTGTGACGTTGAGGCGTTCCTTTCAGGTTGGACGAGGACATGATCGAGGCGTTGTTCATGAACAACTCGACGCCGGCCGCGCCGCCGAGAGAGGTCGGGAGGAAAGCCGCCGGAGTGCCGTCGTTCCGGCAGGAGGAGAGGGTGCTCGACCCCAAGAAGGCGCAGAACATCGCCATCCTGCTGCGCGCGTTGAATGTCACGCGTGAGGAGGTCTCGGATGCACTGTTGGATGGTGAGTACTTAGTTCAGTTTACTGCTTTTGACATTGCATTGTTAATTCAGCGTACCACGATAGAATCATCATTTCATTTTTGTTGGTAATAGTAGTCGCTATCTGATTTGATATAGTATTTGGTAATAGTACTTAGTTGTGTTTGTTTAGCACATTTGTTGCTTTGGTAGGATGTTTTATTCAGATTTTGTTGCTCGGTCCGTACTTTCGATGATATTTTGTTTTGTTTTCTTGGTGGCATGCCCGTTTGATAGTGCTAGGTACTTAGGAGCTGTTGAATTAACAGAAAAAGTCAGGTCTTGATAATAAAGACCTCAACAGAACTTACAGTGACTTGGAAGTTTGAAACATCCATCATATGTTACATTGAACATTATTTTTCTTTATGTCGTTGTCGAGGTAATAGTAATACTACTCTCTATACAGTATACAGCTGCAAAATTTATCGAGTTAATAATATTGACAACATCAACGGCAGCTAGAAAACTATCAGTTATCTTGGTTGTGCCTGTTTTAAATTCGAATTGCACAACTTTTCCTTTGGAAACAAAACAAATTGGAAAACTAAACTTGTTGTGTTTCGTGAATCCTAAGTTCTCTCAAGCCATCGGTGTTTTTCTCATTGTTATCATATTTCATCTTTTCTAAGCAATCACATTCTTAAAAACTACACTGTCTGAACCAAAATCTTCCTCATCCTCAGAAGTCAGAACAATATATGAACTACTCCCTCCGTTTCACAATGTAAGTCATTCTAGCATTTCCCACATTCATATTGATGCCAATGAATCTAGACATATATATCTATCTAGATTCATTAACATCAATATGAATGTGGGAAATGCTATAATGACTTACATTGTGAAACGGAGGTAGTAGTTTTTTTCATTGCGGCATACTGTAAATCTGTAATTTAGTATGCCATCTCTACATGAGGGTGTCCAGTGAATATGTGTAATTTCTATTGTTCTTTTGAGCAGGCAATGCTGAATGCCTGGGGAGTGAACTTTTGGAAACATTAGTCAAGATGGCTCCTACTAAAGAGGAAGAACTGAAACTACGAGACTACAGTGGTGACTTATCGAAACTTGGTTCTGCCGAGCGCTTTCTAAAGGCTGTGTTGGATATACCTTTTGCCTTCAAAAGAGTTGATGCAATGCTATACCGAGCCAATTTTGAGACTGAAATAAATTACCTAAGAAACTCTTTTGAAACTCTGGAGGTATGCTAAGTCTTTTAGTTTTCCATGTTGAATATCATCACCATTTTCAACTATTAAACCTACAATTAGCTGACATTTCTTGTCATGTTTTTACTTTTTAGGCTGCTTGTGAAGATCTTAGAGGCAGTAGGTTGTTCCTAAAACTCCTTGAAGCAGTGCTGAGAACCGGAAACCGGATGAATGTTGGGACAAATAGGGGTGAGGCTAAAGCCTTCAAGCTTGATACTCTCCTGAAACTAGCAGATGTCAAGGGCACTGATGGTAAAACCACATTGCTCCATTTTGTCGTCCAAGAAATTATTCGGTCAGAAGACGCAAAATCTGAAAAAGAAAGTGCCATGATTAGTAGCTCTAAAGATGACCGTAAGCATGGTCTCAAGGTTGTATCTGGGCTCAGCAGCGAGCTTGGAAACGTCAAGAAAGCGGCTACCATGGACTTCGATGTGCTTCATGGTTATGTCAATAAGCTAGAAACAGGTCTTGAAAAGATCAAGTCAGTCTTGCAACTCGAGAAAAAATGCACTCAAGGCCAGCGATTCTTTATGTCAATGCAAGACTTTCTGAAGGAAGCTGAAAGGGAGATAGAGAGAGTCAGAGGTGAGGAGAGGAGAGCTTTGGGGAGAGTGAAGGACATCACTGAGTACTTCCATGGCGACACCGCGAAAGAGGAAGCGCATCCTCTGAGGATATTCATGGTGGTGAGGGACTTCCTGTCAACGTTGGATCAAGTTTGCAGGGAGGTTGGCCGGATGCAGCAGGACAGAACAGTCATTGGTGGATCGGCTAGGTCATTCCGCATCTCAGCAACATCCTCATTGCCAGTTCTAAGTCTCTATGGACAACGGAGAGAAAACAACTCCGATGATGATAGTTCATCGTCATAGGGTAAGAAGGATAAGGAACATACTGAATTTTGGAATGAACATAGACGCACAAACTTTTACAGCTTATAGCAGATGCAGCAAATGCTACATTGCTGCTACAATGACGATGACAAAGGAAGCACATGTGTACCGTGGGGAACACCATGTTTAGGAGAGATCAGGGGTTTATACACTTGGATCATGTGGAAATTCTTTTGTACAAAAGAATAATAATTATAACAAAGCTCTTTTTGTTGAGTAATTTGCAATCAGCAGGCTGAGAAAAGAGTCTCACTTCAGTAGTATCTTGCAGTTGCTTGCAAGATAACTGCAATCTTCTTATGTAATTATTATATTCATCTAGTTTGCCAACTAGTAACTATAACCTGGAGACCATTCACAGATGGTAATCTTTAGTCTGTGCCCATAATCTGTTGTTGTCTTAAAAAAATGAAGCAACTTATATTCAGGCCTTCTCTGCACTTCCCTCTTTCAGATTTGTTGGCCATATGCTGGGAGCCTGGGACAATAGCAAATCTCTCTCATTTTTCGACAATACTCAGTGGATGAATGCCTTACATCAACATCACAAGTACTGCATAACATGGGCTGCAATGGCCATCCTTCCAGATATCTTCTAGCAAAGCAAAGGTAAAAAAGAAAAAGTAAACCATCACTATGTTTGTGATGGATGTAAAGTAGCAGTCGAGTGAATAATAACTGCCAGCAAAGCGACCATCATAATCTGCTCCATCGCCAGCGCCCAGCCTTCTTCGTCGCTGTCACGGCCTTTGCTCTGCAATGTACAGGAGATAGTAGATAATAAGTGATGAATCGAGCATGCCATCTTTGCGTAGAGGTAAAGAAAGCAATGTGGGTCAGCATCCATCCAGCATAGCTACGGAGAAAGTATCCATCTGACCATTTTTCCCCTCTTCTCGTGAGAATGATTCCAGGACTCATGATCGACTTTGATGAGTCCCTCTCGTATTCTTGTCTGCAGATGAACAGAGGCTCTACATCTGGGAGAGAAAACAAAGGAAGCATGCCATTCTGCAACATAGGGAAGCAATGGGCAATGGGAAAAAGAAGGCTTGATGGGTCCATTTCGAATGGTGGTGCCATGATAACCTACCCTTTGAAGTAGTAATATTTTAGTTGTATATGTGGGTGTAATGGATTGGAGGGGATTTACATACTTGCGCTCATTGAGGAAAGTAGTTTGATGCTTGAGTATTTGATTACTTGGTGTGTTCTTTTCAAAGGATTAGAATGGTGGATAAATTCACTCGGTTCTCGAGTTACTAAATGGCATGATTTTTTTTATTTAAATTTATTAAATATCGATTTAAGTTATATTTTAACTTTACAATATTTAATTTGATCTATGTGTTAGGCCGTGAGGAGTAATTTAGTAAGGGCTATAGCCACTAACAAACTATCCGACCCAACCCATAACACCGCAGCTAAACATAATAGGAATAAGTTCACTTGAGGATTCTTATCTTGTTATCGAGTTTTAAAATCGTCCCTGAACCAGAATACCAGATATAACACATCCATAATCTTATAAAATCAGGTTATATTGGGTCCCAAGACAATATTAAGGTGACTTTGGATGACGTGGCGCTATAAGAAAAATAAAAACCCATGTGAGATTTGTATGTCAGTGAAACAATATAGTATTCTTCTTATTTCTCTCCCCATCCTTCGGGTCTCGAGTCTCGGCGGCGACAGATGTGGCGGCGGCGTGCGGGGTGAGGAGATGGCGGCCGGTGTGCGGCGTGCCTAACGACGGCGGCGAAGGAGGCTCAACAGTCGGCGGAGGCACGCCGCATGCAAACCGAGCATCGACGTCGCTCGCTCTTCCCGCGGCGGAGTGGAAAGGACCGCGACCAACAGGGAGAGGAGCGGCTTCCACGGCGGATTGGAAGGCCTCCTAGTCTCCTCCTATGGCGTGCTCGGTGGCGGCCGAACTAAGGAGATGGCAAAGCCCATGCCACGCACAGCGGCGAGGAGGACGTACGTGCCCATGGCGGAGACGCTGAACCGCATCGTGGATTGGTTGCCGGACTATGACGCGAAGGGGAAGAAGTGGAGGCGGAGGACGAGTGTAAGTTATTTTAGAAGACAGAGATCCCTATAAGGATTGTGAAGCAATGGACAATCCAATTTATCTTTTACTACCTCCGTTTCAGGTTATAAGACGTTTTGACTTTGGTTAAAATCAAACTGCTTCAAGTTTGACTAAGTTTGTACAAAAATAATAGCATTTTCAACCCAAGACAAATTTATTAAGAAAATGGGAGCGAATTTTCCAGGATTTAATAGCTTTGTGCTTTCAGTGGTAAGTGACGTACCTGTCTACAGCGAGGCGTCTGTGGTGACTTCATTAATCTCCAGGATAGATTTGCCAGCCCAGTCTTCGAAGATGGCAAGATGCTCATAGGGGTATGGTTTGCGTGTGTGTTGTGAGTATCTGCGTTGTACCATGTAATTAAAAAAATATTAATTTAATAAAACTAATTTAATATTATAAATATTACTATATTTGTCTATAAACTTGTATTTGAAGCACAATGATGTGAAAATCTATGTCTCGGGAATAATGATGAGAAAAGCACAATGGTGAAGCAACGCAAAGCTGGGATCAATCGCCCTGTTGAAATAATTTTCCGCTAACAAAGAATGGATTCTTTGCTATTGGGTACACTGTAAAACAGATTCTCGCACCCTGTAAAAATGATGATTTTTATTTTTCATTCGATGTGTAATGGGCTAGTCTGGTACCTTGATTGGGTACAGTTATCATTGGCATAGACGTCACCCAACATGTTCTTCACTGCTGATTTGTCGTAATTCTGAAATCTGACTTTCTGAACATTAGCCGATCTCCCTGATGCACCATGATATACCACCTACGTTTTAGCAGAACTCGTTAGATCATCATCCTGGTTTTGCCAAATCACAAGCACAACGCGTCCTGAATTTATTGCAAATACTTTGCAACATCACAGCCAGGTGATATCAGATACTCCCTCCGTATTTTAATGTATGACACCGTTGACTTTTTAACTAACGTTTGACCATTCGTCTTATTTAAAATTTTTATGCAAATACAAAAATGCTTATGTCATGCTTAAAGAATATTTCATGATAAATCAAATCACAATAAAATAAATGATAATTACATAAATTTTTTAAATAAGACGAAATGTTAAATGTTTGTTAAAAAGTCAACGGCGTCATACATTAAAATACGGAGGGAGTAGTTTGCATCATCAACATCACAATCAGATATAAGGAGTATTGTAAGCCCAGTAGTGTTAACTTTGCGATATTTTTGTCTCGTTTTTTGTCACTAATAACCTGACTTATTACCCAAGTTTACAGTGTTTATGGACCATTGTGTTAGGCCTTGATCGAGGAGTAATTTAGCGAGGGCGACAGCCACTAGCAAACTATCCGGCCCAGCCCATTAGACCGCAATTCCAGGGATGGATTTCGAACTCGGGGACAAGTTGAGGGATCGAAAGTTAACTTATTCCAAACCGTAATACTCGCACGGGCTTTAACGCTGTTTGGGCCACGGCCCAAACATATCCCCTGGTGGGTGCGACTACCACCCATTTCAGCAGCAACTCCGGCGATCGATGCCGGTTGCCCTAGCCGCCGCCGCCGTCGCCCGCTGTAATTTCCCTCTCCATCCTGGCTCTACGTTCGCCGGATCGATGCTCTAGCGGCTTAGCGGACAGGTATTAGTTCGTTTTTTTTTTGTCCTTTCCTGGGCGTGTTTTAAATTCATCTTTTGCTGCTGGTTTTCATTTTTTAGAATATATGCATCGATGCTCTCTGCGAGTTCTGCAAGAAAACACAAGAGAGAAGAAGCAACGATCTTCTTCTGTGATTCAAAGCGATAGAAGTCAATGGAATCTCCCTTCTTTTCTTGGTTTCCGAGGATAAATTTCATAGGTTTTCATAAGCGACTGCATGCAAAGAGCTTAGTGGATTTCTTTAATATATCTCGTAGTCTGTCATGTTGCCTCACAAAACTCTTTCTATCTACGACAATGTTTTTTGAAGCAGATCTGTGTCAACTACTAATCAGCTGTGACCAGTTGCAGCAACTAATTCTGCATCTTTGTAAACTTCGGGATTCGTCAAAGCTGAAGTTGGATATGCCAAATTCAAAACTCCGCCTCGTTGAACTCTATTCGTGCAGTATCAAGACTGTAGAGTTTCTCTGCCTCCCTAAACTAGAGCATCTATTATGTGAATCTTGGTTCTTTTCAGTTGCCCCTTTATCTTTTGGTGTGATTCCATGTCTTGAGGGGTTAAAGCTTGTTTGTGCTGCGTATAGTAATCAATCAGGGTTCAAATTGACTGATCTTATGTGCGGTGCTTCAAATGTAAAGGATCTTACTTTGGATTTCCAAGGAGAGGAGGCAAGTTATTTTATTACATGCAAAATCATCGTATTTACTGTCATGTGGTGGTGGCTGATAGCCACATGTTTATATGCAATTTAGACTGAAACTGAAAGAGCATTTTAAAAGCACCTTTTATGTGATTAGATGTTGATGGCAACTACTGTTTAACTTCTTTCTCTTGATCAAATTTCAAATATGTAATACATGCTCTCAGATTATCTTTTAGAGTATATTTGTGTTATTACTATCGCGACTAGGGTTATTGAGTACATAATGATTGGACTGATTAAGAGATTTTTGTGCTTACAATTAATTCCTTGTTTATTTTGTTAATTTTGCATAGATTTGGATTAAATTTCAAGGAAAAGAACTACGCACCGCCTTGAACAAGATAACAAAGTTGCTTCTGCATGGCATCTATGTGAAATTTTTTGAACGACTCACACGAGACGGTGCGAAGTTCTATTGATAGAGCAGGAAAAAAAAGTATAAGATTACAACCCTGGAGAGTCGTAAGCAGGAAAAGAAAAAAATACCACCACCCACATGACGACATCGCCAACACACACGCCCAGGAGAAGGCTAGTACCGGATCGGCCGCCGCTAAGCGTGGCCGACCGCTAGTAGACCAACAAAGGCACGGCTGGCGCACCGATGCTCCACCACCGCACAAGCTTTGCTGATATGTGGGACCCCTGCACCGGCGTCCCCCGCTGGCCAGGCTTCGTGCGCCGAAGACCGCGCCGCACCCACCGGCAGCTCCTCCTCATACCTAGGTCGCCTCCTCCACCGCCGGCCGCGCCTCTCTGCGCCAAGCCGGCCTCCTCCAACGGACGCGCCTCTCGTGCCAATCCGGCCTCCCTCCATCGGCCGCGCCTCTCGCGCCCAGCCGGCCTCCATCTCCGCCGCCCGCGCCTCTCGCGCCGAGCCGGCCTCCGCTGCCATCGGCTGCACTTCTCTGCGCCAAGCCGGTCTCCGACCCCTTCACCGAACGATGCCGCGCCGGCCAGCTACAGCCGTCTCCCATGCCCTCGGTTAGTCAACCGAGGCCGCCATGCCTCCGGTGACCGCAAACACGGTCACCACCACCACAGCCTTGGTTGCCGAACACCCAGCCACCTCGCCCCCGACTCCTTCCCCGCCGCCGACGTCGCCACTGCCTCCAGAGTCATAACCGCCGTCGCCGCTGCCACCGACGCCAACCGCCGCCTCTGCAAATCGCTGCTCCGCCGTCGCCCTCCACCACCGAACAGCTAGCAGCCCGACGCCATGTCTTCCGCCGCCGTTGCCAGATGACACGGCAGCCACCACAGCCGCCACCGCCGTCGCCAACTGCCATCGGCCAACTACCGCCGCTGCCGTCGCCACACCGTCGTCGCCGTCGCCGACTGCTCCCATCCTCCAGATCCAGCCGAGAGGCACGGATCTGGGGGCACCGCTGCCGTCGCCGCCAGGCATCGAGCCACCGGCCACAGCAGCTGCGCCTCCGAGCCTGCCGCTGCTGCCCGTGCTTGCTCCGCCGTCACGCCTGACGCCGCCGCCCGGCCGCCCGTGCCTGCGCCACCGTCGCGTATGCCACCGCCTGTCGCGGCCGCCAGCGCCCACGCCTCGCCGACGCCGTGCCCGCGCCTCCGTGACCGGATCCAGCTGCGAGCGCGCCAGATCCGGTGGTGGCGACGCCGGATCCGCCGCCATGCGCCTCGACGCCGGCGCCGCTCCGGTCGGCCACCGCCTTTGCGTCCACCCGCGCCAGGAGCTCGGGAGATGGCCGCCGCGAGCCCAGCCGCCGCCGTCCTCGCGAGCCGCCGGCTTTGCCGGCCGCTCGCTCAGGCGACGGCAAGGCAGAGGAAGGGGCGGGGAAGGGCGGCGGCGGCGGCGGCTAGGGTTCCGCCGCCCGAGTCGCCCGACGCGGGGGGCGACGCGGGGGCCAGGAGAGAGTTCCCTCACGGGACATTCATTCATGAGAAAAAAAAAATCTATGTGAAATTTAATCTCCTATGGACATTGGTTCTACTTGAATCTGCACCATCTGTTAAGATTTTTGGTGTCAAGGTACCTTATATCTTTTTTCATTGTTTATTTATCATGATTTGATTTCAGCTATGTTCTCATTAAAGTCTTTTTGATGATAAGTATGCATGACGTCAAATATTTAATTCTTCTCATGTCTTGAATTTAGGTGTGGAACCATTCATGTGACCAGGATACTGTGGACAGAGAAATATTTTCTGAAAGAAGAAATGATTTGTGGGATGTTGCACAGTTGGATAGCTCGGTACATTATAATCAGCTAGGGAAGTTAAATTTTGGTGGGTTCAATCCAACAATAAAAGAACACTTGGATTTGGTAAGAACTGTCATTGAGCGTGCTCCCAAATTAAAGTCAGTTTTTTTGGAAGATAGAGAACCCTGTAAAGGCTGTGAAGCAATGGACAACCCAATTTATCCTTCAACAATATCCATGTTTCCACAAAATGAAGATGAGAAAAGCACAGTGGCGAAGCAACTCAAAGCTGGGACCTCTCGCCCTGTTGAAATAATCTTTTGCTAATAAAACATGGATTATTTGTTATAGGGTACGGAGTACGAAAATGCTTTATACTTTCCCATGATGCACTTGAACGACATGCATGACTGCGTGAGCAAGCGCGGCCACTCTGGGCTGGACCGATTTTGGGTGCAACAAAAATAGTTTTTCATTTTTTCAACTTATAGTTTTTCATTTTTGTATACCAAATGTTTATGTGTATAAAGTTTCTATGCAAAAATTTTATGTGTATAAAGTTTTTATATGGAAAGTTTGTGTATAAAGTTTCTATATGAAAAGTTTGTGTATAAATTTTTAAGTTGATTTTTTTAGTTTTGCATAATGATTCTGGGTGGAATTTTTTTATTCATGCATAGTATTACAGTGTAAACTTTTTAATTCCATATAACAGTGTTTTTTATGTAGAGTATTTATCACTAGAAGTTCTAATCTAGTTCTATATTAGATATATATAGAGTTTCATGGTGGGCTTGGTGTGCACAATGAACATGGGCATAGGCGATTGTGTGGGTTCTAGGAGTGTGACGGGCTGCGTGCTAGGAGTCCCCTACGGAGTACTTGTAAAACATATCCTCGCACCCTTTAAAATGATGGTTTTTATTTCTATGATGTTTCATGTGCTTGTCTACTACATTGATGATTGGTCACAGGCCATAATAATTATAAATTTTGACTTGTGTCTGAACTTATTTCCCCGGTAGCCCATTAGCCGGTCTTCCTGAATCCACAGCAATAATCTGATCGATGATCTGAATCAAACATGACTCTTGTTTCTCTCATAGCCCATTAGCTGGTCTACCTGCATCCACCGCAATAATCTGCTTGATAATCTGAATCAAACAGGGCACATGTTGCCTTGATTTACCTTATAAACTTGCACTTCGTTTACAGTTTAAATTTGGCTTGAGAGAGAGCTTATCTTGAGGTTCTGTACAGATTTTTTGTGATACTACATATGCCAAAAAACTCGTGTCTTGAGACTCTGCACAGATATGTCCATGCATTATATTCCCAAAATCGACGTCGAGGCACCTTGTTTAAGCCATGGCACAATATTTTCCAGGACTATGATTACCCAAAATTTTGACAAACTAACCCTTTTAAAAGAATTGTATTTTAAAAAAATGAATCGTGCCAAAAACTAATTGAAGAAATGAATCGTTGTCTTGATGGTGCTTAACTATAACGTTTTAGCGCTACAAATATAGGCACTGAATGGCACGGTTCATTATTAAAAATAACTTTTTATAAGGATCATTGTGGCAAAATTTCAGCTAAGACTACCTTTGTCACTACAAGATTCATGCGGTCATAGTTTCATGCAGGGCGGATCCAGGAACAAAAAAATTGGAGGGGCTCAGTTACATAGTATCTTCAATCTCTAGCCATTTAAGAACCTTTACTTTATCATTCACGGTGAAAAAATCGAGGGGGGAGTGTTCCGGGGGTATCCATAGATTTTATGGGTGCAGGGGGGACCACGTTGGATCCGCCCCTGGTTTCATGTCAATATGCCATGCTTTCAAGCTATGCACAATCCAAAGTTCCAAACTTCTGAGGGGTAACGTCCGCAAATTTGTATCACAACTAAGCTTGCCACCATAGCAAACTGAAATCTAGCTAGTACACTCAATAAAAGTACTTATCTACTTCGTACTTTGCATTTCACAAGAATTATGATCAATAGTGATAATACAGTCAAACAATGACACATTACTGATGATGTTAATGTATGCTCAGTTACAGAGAGACGACCGCAATCCCCCCCCCCCCCCCCCCTCTTCTCTCCTCTTTCTTCTCGAACTCAAACTGCTGCGTTTTGGCACTCACAAACCAAGACTCGCAAGTCGCAAGAGCTACATAGCTAAGAATATTAACGCGAGGGCAGTTTACTACCGCGTACAAATGATTTTTGTTTGCAATTTGGTTGCTGGGTCATTCTTGGCATCTGGATTCTCCATGTTTTCTTCATCAGAGCTTATGTTGTCACATTGGCCACTGCCTGCAGCACCTCACGGGCCTCTGCCAAAGCAGCAGTAGTCTGGACCAATCCTAGAGCATCTTAAGTTCTATCAGCTGGGCTGACAAAGTATGAACCTGGGAGGAACATATGGGCACGAGAACCTAACCAAATAAAATAACATTCAGCAAGGTCCCAAATGTGTGACAGCATGAGGGATTAATAATAAAAAAATCTCGGGCACAAAATATATTCCACCAAATACATGAACATGAAAAATAATTGAAAAAGAGCTAAATGTACCTGAAATTGCATATCGACGAACCAAGGGGCTTCCATGCTAAAGGAGATTCTAGCCTGTGCTGATACCTGGGGTATCAGCCAATCTAACAAGAGCCACGGTTCAGAATTTCAGAATGACAAATTAACCGAAGGAACAAGGATCAAATAACAATCTCTTCAGGCTTCACTAGTTGGAAACAAGTGGGTTTAATTCCCTAATGTATTCTTCATCACTAGGATTCTATTCAACATTTCAGGTGCTAATTCCAGTAAAATAGTGTTTAAAAGGCTTATGATAATTCATCTGATAAGAAAGTGTTTTCTAGTTTCTGACTAAAGATGGAAGCTCTTGAAGGAATATTTTGATATCATAGATAAGAATGGGCATTAACTTCGTAAGTTTTGTATTGGATTAGGTATCTAAGTAGATATCAGTAAAGTGAAGTATGCCACCACTGAACCTGCAAGTCCCAGTTTAAGTTTTGGTTTAGCAGACTTCACAACTCTTCAGAAGCATGCAGGAGTACGAATTCAATGCATTGATGCTTGCTAATATCAAGAAAAGGAGGAACTCATCACTCACTAGAGATCAGTTTCCATAAAATTAATGTGATTTAATTTTCACGTAATCTGAGAAATGTGAAGATTACCAAACAAAAGAATCTGATGCAAAACAACAAAAGAATATGTGATAGTGTGAAGTCTTACATGCTCACATATTCATAATGCACATTTATGCAGTGTGAAGATTTTTCCATGATGAGTTCTGCGGGCTTTGATTTAGCACACATTCCTTCCTTACACACTGATGACAAAGATTCCATATATGTGTTCAGCTTCTGATTCATGGCAATTTAGCCATAATCTGGGGAAACGAGATCATCACCGATGTGCTCAATAAGAATACTTGCAGGTTGCTGCAACAAACAACATTATAGATAAGAACAAGATCATCGGCAAAACTTATTTGCCATTTTGCCCCAGTCTGCCCATCCCCCATATTTCATAGATGCCAACATGGTTAAAAGGCACTTGCTACACTCAGACACTCAGGGCATTAACTTGGTTTAGTTTAGGATGTAATGCTAAATTTACTGGACTTACACCTGCTTCCAACTGATCCATCTCATAAATTATAAAGGTGTTGCTACCTTTTATCCTCAATGAATTATGGTACTACAAACAAGCTAAATATCATCAGAAACTGGAAGTAATTACTAAATTGCCTGACAGATCATCATAAGTAGTAGCTACTTTTGTTGCAGAACGGCGTTCAACTCTTGCATTCATCTGCAGAACAAAGGACTAGAAGTAAGTAGTAGTTGCTAGCACAAAGAAGCTACTCTATTGAGCCCCTTAAAATTTCTTGTTATATCATTTTCTTTTCGGTGCAAGCTAGATGGACTAAAATTAAATACAAATAAGTAATTTTCATGGCATTACTGTTCCCGACATTGCTTTCCTATACGTCCAGGCAAAGCTTGAGCAATGGTTAACCATTTCTTCGGTCCAAGTTTGTTTACCATCTGAACAATGATCTCATCTTCCTGAAAAGGGGAACATGTCATTGTGAGTATAAGATGACTAACCAATATTATATAAGAAATGAAAATAAATGGACTAGCATGCTTACTTCTTTGGACCATGGCCCTTTGACCAATTCAGGGTGTAGAACCTTTTAATTGCCACCTGTGCAAGCATTGTACATCGGTTCTATTCGCAAGCTGGAAAATTAGAAGGTCCTCTGTCAAAGCTTGGATTTTTAACAATATACAGGAACCTCATCAACAGGGTAGGAAAAAGAATGCCAGAGAAGCATGACTAGAGTGTAAGCTAATGAAACAGCACAATGCTTTACTGTACATGAGTTGTGATAGCATCAAAGAGGGGAAAAAAATGCTTGCGTGGCTTAAGATATCCTACTGCACTGAAGTACTAAACAATTGTAGCGCAAGGTGGGCTTGAGAACAATATGGTAAAAATGTATTATATATCAAGTATAATATTGTGAAATATTACTCCTGTTACAACCTGACATGTATTGACATATAACTGTATGTAATCACAAAGCTAATGTGTAAAAATTAAAAAAAAAATCCAAGGGAGTCCAACATATGCATGGTAGGCTATATAAAATGCAGTGATATAGATACCAAAGGTCACACTTTTGAAGGTGCTCCCCCTATGTTATTTCATCTCTCAAAAAAAATCAGTAAAATGATATATGAATTGGACTTTAGAAGGCTATTTTGTTTATATTTTCCAGCATACAAAAAACAACCGCAACAAAGTTGAAGAAAAACAAAAAATATGACAGCTAAAAGATAGTAGAAATACTATGATAAAGAGTAAGGACAAAGTATGCCAAATAGAACCAATGCACTAATAGAACCAATGCATCCCATTGTATGTCTGAACAGCTCTGAAACGCACCTAACTTTTTCCCAATTCTTCCCATTGCATGTCTGAATAGCTCTGGACAATATGGCAGCCTCCATTGATCAGCTAAAAGCTAAAACAAATGGTATGGTTTCCACTCTCCATTTGTTTCTACGACACGACCTACATTTTAGCTGAAATGGAGACCAGCTGCAGACCACGTTCAATGACTTCAATCAGCTAATCAATGAAGACAATCAATTATATAATTGTGAGCATTGTTCAATCTATCCATGTCATCCTGATTTTGCCAAATAACAAGCACAATCAGATATCCAGACAAAAGATCAAAACTTTTGCCAAATCAGAAGCACAATCAGAGTCCAAAGATCAAACTTTTGCCAGATCACAAGCATAATCAGAGACCAAAGATCAAACTTTTCCCAAATCACAAGCACAATCATATATCCAGTAGATAGGAAATGCATCACGAAGGTTCATCGCAAATACTTCGCAACATTCATCCATTGGTAGCCTGAGACAGTTAGTAGTACGATCTAAGCCTCGGTACCTTCTAATTAAGCAACACTAGACGATAGATAGCATAATAGCATCCCTAAGCAAACATTGACTATAGGCATCAGTGATCAGTGGAGTTGGCCGTTGACGTAGTGGCGGTGGGGGTCATCGGCGCGGACACGGTCATGGAGTCGCGGGCGAGGTCGTCGACGCGGCGGGGGCGGGGGCGGTCGATGGGGCGAGGGCGGCGCCGATCGTCGCAGGGGCGGGCGGCGGCGGGGCGTCGTCGGCGGCTGGCGTGTCGGCGGGCATCTTCGCCTTGACCTTGTCGAAGATCTTAGCCATCGCAGCCTCCTCCTTCTCGGAGAACACGACGACCTCATCATCGCCCTCGTCGTCGCTCGCGATCCCGGCCTGGATGCGCTTCTTCTTGTCATCGCGGATGATCTTGCGATGCGGTTTTCCCTGGACGCCACTGAAACGATCGAAACGCAACAAGGGTTAGCAGCCCGCGAAACCAGATGAGATCTAGAGCGCTCGCGCGCGCGCGCGCGAAGCCTTCTTACCGACTCTCGGCGCTCCGGGACCACTCCATCGCGACTCCGGCGGCGGCGGCGGCGGAAGAATGGAGGCGGCGCGGTCGGGACTTGGACACTGCTCACTGCTCTCCGTGTCTCCCTGCTCGGACCAGCAACTCGAGGTAGTATATATAGCCATCGTATTGGGCCGGCCCATAAACCCTGGGCTGGAAATGTTCGTATGGGCCACACTAGGCCCAAATTTTGGGCCCATGAGGCGATAGAAAAGCAGCCCAACCACGAGTTCGCCGGCGACATCTGCTTCCCCGAGGATCGACTCCGGCGAGTAACCATCTTTCTCCTCCCGTTGTACTCCCTCCGTCCCATAAGTGCAATCATAAGTTTCCATGTCCAACTTTAATCGTCCGTCTTATTTAAGTATTTTTGTTGTTATGGGATGATAAAATATGAATAATATTTACTTGTGACTTATGTTTTTAAATTTTTTTAAAAAATTTTCAAATAAAACACACGGTCAAAGTTGGATGCGGAAAACCGTGGCTGCACTTAAAATGTAACGGAGGGAGTAATAAAGGATCGAGTTATCCGCATCCGTATTCCTAAGCTTTAACAGATTTACGTATCCCTGAGAAAAATTACTTATAACCATCCTGGTTTTTGAACAAAATCGACTATCCTTAAAGGTCACACTAACACTTGCACTATCACAGAGATGGGTGTAGTGCGCAAGCACCATTGCAGAGCAGCTACTCCAAGTCTCCGAACACTACTACTTGCCCCTCCAGAATTGTAACAGCTGGAGTACGTAGATAAGGGAGAAGTGAATTGTAAATGGTCCACTCAAGTATTCAAATCCCATTAGTATGTAGATAATTGAGAACTGAAAAATAAATGATCGGAGGTTTCAGCAGTTCCACAAAACATCCGTGATTAAAATGTGATTAGATATTGATGCTCCACAAAACTACCTGTCGGCAATCAATATTCTTTAAAATATTATGGGTGTTTGTTTGTTTGTTGCCCGAGTAAATAAACCCAATACTGTCCTTACGTATATTTATATTTGAAGTATATACTTTCAGTAATACTCGCACTAGGGGTGGAAACGACGGCTCGGCTTGCAGTGGTTCGCAACAAAACTAGGCTTGGCTTGGCTTGGCTCGGCTCGGTTAGGGAAACAAGCTAAAACTTGAGCTCGGCTTGGCTTGTTTCCTGGCTCGAGCCAGCTCGAGCTGGCATGCAAGTCTTCCTGTTGAAACACCTCTTCATATATATTTTGTAACTATTAAAAAAACAAGAACAAATCATCAACTTGTAAAATTTAAATAAGTTTATATATTCAATTCTTCAAAATCTTAAAGAAAAATTTCAAGTTGGCAAATAATAACTCCATAAAAAAATAAATAATCGATATAAACACATGATGGCCTAAGCTCGCGAGCCAAATCAAACGGCTCGCGAGCCAGCTCGGGCTCGGCTCGTTTCACCAACGAGCTGAAAAGGAGACTTAGACTTGGCTCGTTTGGCTTACGAGCCGAGCCAAGTCAACCAAGCTCACAAGTCCGAGCTTTTTTTCCCACCCCTAACTCGCACTGTCGCACATCAAACGTATAAGACGTAAGAAATACTTCAGTAAACTAGCAAACTATCCGGCCCAGCCCATTATACTACAATTAAACCGTAATAGAAAAAAGTACACCGAAGATCCCTCAACTTGTCATCGAGATAAAAAACGTCCTCGAAATGCAAAACCAGATATGCGGGGTCCCTTAACTATACAAAACCGGTCACCCGAAATTCTTCGGTGGTTTTGACCCCGGTTTTGTTCTATGTGACGGCTGAGTCAGCAAGAGACCCACGTGGGACCCATATATCAGGTGTCCACGTCACCCTCTCTCTTTCCCCTTTCTTTTTTTTCTCTTCTTTTTCCTCTCCTCTTTGCGGGGCTGAGCGGCGGCTTGCGAGCGGAGGCGCGGAGGAGGAGGCGGGAAAGGAGGAGGGCGGCGCCGCGACGGCGGCCGCCAGCGGCGGCGGCAGTGGGGAGGCGGCGTGCGGGCGGCGCCGTTGTCGTCCCCCTCGTCTCCTCTCCTCTTCGTTGGCGTCGTCGTCCCTCTCGTCCCCGCCAGATCACGCCGCGGCGCGGTGGCCGGCGTCCTCCTCCTCCTCTTCTACGTGGCGGCGGCCGTTCCATGGAGGCCGACGCTCCAGTCTAAGCCGGCCCGGCCTTATCCTCGGCTTCGCCGGAGTCGAGCTCTACCGGCAAGGCGCTAGCCCGGTGGCCGTCTTTCGGTCGGCCCTGGTGGGCCCTCGCCACGACCGCCTCCAGGTCGGAGCCATCCAAGCGAAGCACGGCCTCCATGCGCTCTTCGCCTTCAAGCCCGAGGCCTCCTCCGGCGGTCTGCGCTCCTTACCTTGAACCTCCCGTCGCTGTTCCCCCTGCGCCGAGCAGCCTCGCCGACTGCACGACGGCGACCATCGGCGCGCCCAACGCCTCGTAGCGCCGCGACGGGTCACGCACGTGGATGGCCGCTACCAGTGTGATGCAGGCGCCGCCCTCCTCCGCGCCTCTGCTTGCAAGCCGCCTCTTGCACTAAGCACACGCTGACACGCATAAGTTAACAGTTTAGGACTTGGCAACATCAGCTAGCAGTAGAGCACACGATCAGATGGCAATCACAAGCAGATTAAGCATATACATGGACGAACGACTTAATCATTACAGTTTTTTTGGTTGTCACGTACCACGAAGCATACCATATATACTCCTACATGATGATGCCATTTTCTTTCTTACCATGATTTTCTAGCTAGCTAGCTAATCGATCAGCTGCTTGATTGATCAGTAGGCAGCAGCTGCGGCGGCGGCGCACTCAATGTCGCCGGCCTTGTCGTCGACGACCTTGCCGCCGGCCATGACGGTCTTGTACGAGTATCTGGTGGCGACGACCACGTAGAAGACGAGGTTGGCGATGCCGATGCATGCGAGAAGCCAGTAGAAGAGGTCCAGCCTGCTGTTGTTCAGGTCCTTGCCGAACCAGCCGGCGGCGCGGCCGCCGTGCGAGGTGACGCGGACGAGCGGCGTGAGTGGGCTGCCCTCGGGGACCCTGTACCGGTAGTGGCGCCAGCCGGCGAGGAAGACGGCGAGGGAGACGGCCACGACGGCGGCAGCGCCCCAGCCGACCTTCTCCTGGAGGTAGACGATGATGGTGACGCCGAGCAGGACGCCGGCGCAGAGCCCTCCTCCTTTCCCGCCTCCTCCTCCGCGCCTCCGCTCGCAAGCCGCCTCGCCGGCCGCCACGCGCTCGCAAGCCGGCCGCCGCTCAGCCCCGCAAAGAGGAGAGGAAAAAGAAGAGAAAAAAAAAAGAAAGGGAAAGAGAGAGGGTGACGTGGAGAACTGATTTGTGGGTCCTCCGCTGACTCAGCCGTCACGTAGACTAAAACCGGGGTCAAAACCACCAAAGGACCTCGGGTTACCGGTTTTGTATAGTTAAGGGACCCCGTATATCTGTTTTACAGTTTGAGGACGTTTTTTATCCCGATGACAAGTTGAGGGACCTTTGGTGTACTTTTTCCAACCGTAATATTCGCACGGGCTTTAACTCCGTTTAGGCCACGGCCCAAAACTATCCCCGGATGGGTGCGACTGCAACCTATTTCAGCAGCAACTCCGGTGTCCGGTGTTCGATGCCGGTTGCCCTAGCCGCCGCCGCCGCCGTCGCCGTCCTCTCTCTCCTGTTTCCTCGTTCGTAGGATCGATGATCTAGTGGCTTTGCGGACAGGTAGTTCGTATTTTTATCGTCCTTTCCTGGGCGTGTTTTAAATTCATCTTTTGCTGCTGGTTTTCACTTTTCAGAATATGCATCGATGCTCTCTGCGGGTTCTCAAGAAAATACAGGAGAAAAGAAGCATTGATCTTCTTCTGTGATCGAAGTGATAGAAATCAATGGAATATCCCTTGTTTTCTTGGTTTCTGAGGGTAAATTTCCTTGTTTTTCCAAGGATAAACCGATTCGACATAAGTTAATTACCAAGTCGGTTTTTCAATTTCAGTATGAATCCAATTCGAGCATATACAAGTAAGTGCCCTAATTCGAATCAGGCTCTGAGGCTGGTGAAATTCCCTTTATAAATAAGCTCGACAATAACACTGATCTCATATTTGCATACCATCCGAGTGGAAAAGCCCCATTGTCAGTAGTCATGCAGTCCAATAGCATCCAAAGCTATGTAAGTCTCTTTCCCTCTCTCTGTTAGTAATTTTTGTTAGTAGTTTTTCCAGTGTAAATAAACCTAATACCATCCTTTATATGTTTAGTATTTCTTGTAAAATTAAGAGAACATTTTAAACTTCAGTTTAAATGATTGAGCACTTTATTGGTGTAGGACCAAGGTAGATTCAACCAATTGCCGGATCATATCTTACTCTCTATCCTAGAAAGAGTTGATATGCGCACAGTTCTAAGGACCAGTGTCCTGTCGACACGGTGGAAGCACCTGCCTCTTTTGCTCTCTGATGTCGACTTAGATGCAGATGAATTCATCCACCAAAATTCCTCAATGTCGGCCGATGAAGCGATGGCTGTTCTAGTTAAATTGATGAGCAGTTTATTTGGTTCTCCTCGGAGCGAATCTATCATTAAAAAGCTAAACCTCAGGTTCTGCTTGCTCACTGATTTGGAGACATCATTAGATTATTTGTTTAACATCGGTGAGCTAGTTTGCAATGCTATTGACAGTGGTAAAGTAAAGAGCGTGGAGCTTGCGATCACAACTGAGAAGCGGAGTGTAGATTGCACGTCTAGTGATATGCTGCTGCATGCAAAGAGCTTAGTGGAATTTTTTAATATATCTCGTAGTCTGTCATGTTGCCTCACGAAACTCCTCCTGTGTACGGCAAGGTTTTCTGAACAAGATCTGCATCAACTAATAATCAGCTGTGATCAGCTGCAGCATCTAACTCTCTATTATTGTGAACTTCGGGATTCATCAACATTGAAGCTGGATATGCCGAATTCAAAACTCCGCTTCGTTGAACTCAACTCGTGCTATGTCAAGACCGTAGAGTTTCTCTGCCTACCTAAACTAGAGCAGCTATACTGTGACTCATGGCGCTTATCAGGGGCTCCCCTATCTTTTGGTGTAGTTCCTTGCCTTGAGGAACTACGCCTTGTTTGCGACGTCACGTATCCAGTCGGGGTTCAAATTGACTGATCTTCTTCATGGTACTGCAAATGTACAGGATATTGCTTTGGATTTCCAAGGAGAGGTGGTAAGTAATTTACTAATTTAATTACATGGAAAGTCATCTTTATTAATGTCATATGGTGGTGGCTGTTGGCTACATGTTGCTATGAAATTTGCACTGAAACTGAAAGAGCATTTTAAAAGCTTTTTTTTTTTTGTGTGTGATTTGATCTTAATGGCAGGTACTGTTTGATCCTTTTTTTCCCCGACCAAATCTCAAATACTCAGATTATCTTTTAGAGTACACCAGGGTTACTATTGGCACCAGGGTTATTGAGTACACAAGTGTTGGCCTGATTAAGAGCTTTTTGTGCATAGAAATAATTCCTTGTTTATTTTGTTAATTTTACCTAGATTTGGATTACACCTGAAGGAAAAAAGCTACGCTCCGCCTTGAACAAGATAACAAAGTTATTTCTGCATGGGATCTATGTGAAATTTGATCTCCTATGGACATTGGTTCTCCTTGAATCCGCACCATCCGTTAAGGTTTTTGGTGTCAAGGTTATGCTGTCATTTTTTCTTGTTTTTTTATCATGATTTGGTTTCAGCTATGTTCTCATTCAAGTCTTTCTGATGATTAGTACGCATGATGTCAAATGTTTTCTTATATCTGAATGTAGGTGTGGAACCATGCATGTGACGAGGGTACTGAGAATAGAAAACAATTGTATGAAAGAAATGATTTGTGGGATGCTGCACAGTTGGATGGCTCGATACATTATTTGCAACTAGAGAGGTTAGAATTTGGTGGATTCAACCAAATAATAAGAGAACACTTGGATTTCATAAGAGCTATCATTGAGCGTGCTCCAAACTTAAAGTCAGTTATTTTAGAAGACAGATCCCTGTGAAGACTGTGAAGCAATGGACAACCCAATTTATCCTTCAATATCCATGTTTCCACAGAATAATGATGAAAAGATCACAATTGTGAAGCAACTCAAAGCCGGGATGAATCGCCCTGTTGAAATAATTTTCTGCTAACAAAGAATGTATTTCTATGCTATTGTGTTCCTGTAAAAATGATGATTTTTTTTTTCGTTATGCGTAATGGGCTAGTCAGATACCTAGCTTGATTGGTAAAGTTATCATTGGCATAGACCACTGAGCATGTTCTACTGTTCTTCAGTGCTGAACTGGTCGTGATAGTAGTTCATTAGCCGATGAACTTCTCACGTAGTAGTAGTTCATTAGCCGATCTCCCTGATGTACAATGATACCAAGTTGCAGATCCCTTTCAATAAATTATATAATTGTGAGCATCGTTCAGAATCTGTATATACCATCCTGGTTTTGCCAAATCACAAGCAGATACTATGCAAATACTTTACAACATCACAACCAGATATGCAACTTCGCAAATCGCAACATCAACATAACAATCAGATAGGTACTTGGCAACCTAACGATCAGAAATCAATCTGATATAGATTGGAAATGCATCGCGAAACCAGATACTATATCACAATCAGAAATCTGACATATATTGGAAATGCATGAAACCAGATACTATATCACAATCAGAAATCTGATATAGACAGGAAATGCATCACAAAACAGATATATCAGATACTTGGCAACATCAGCATCACAATCAGGTATATCACTTGGCAACATCATCACAACCAGATATCTGTCATAGATAGGAAATTCATCGCAAATTGTACTTCGCAGCATCCATGGATCGATAACCTGGGATAGTTAGTACGGTAGTTCCTAAGCAACGGTAGCTCCTAAGCAACATAAGACTAGCATCCCTAAGCAAAATTAGACAATAGCTGATCGCATCAGTGGAGATGGGGATTCACGCAGTGGCGATGGCGGTGGTCATGGAGTCGCGGGCGAGGCCGTCGACGGGGTCACGGGCCGGGGGCGATCGCGTCGGGGGCGTCGGTGGGGACGGGGGCGATCGCGGCGGGGACGTCGGCGGGGACGGGGGCGATCGCGGCGGGGACGACGGCGGGGGCGGGGGCGATCGCGGCGGAGGCGGCAGCCTTCTTGGCCATGGCTCTCGCGTGGATCCTGTTCATGGCGGCCTCTTCCTTCTCTGAGAAGGGGACGTCCTCGCGATCCACGTCGCCCTCATCGTCGCTTGGGATCCCGGCCTTGATCCGCGTCGCGTCCTTTTGCGAGCTGTCATTCCGGTACGGCTTCCCTCCGACGCCACTGAAACGAATCGAAACGAAACAAGGGTTAGAAGCCTGCGAAACCAGATGAGATCTAGAGCGCGCGCGCGAGGCCTTCTTACCGGGTCTTTGGGCTCGCCCACCGCCCCATCGCGACTCCGGAGGTGGACGACGGCAGCGGCAGCGGGCGCCGCGGAGATTTTAGGTTTAGACTTTAGAGGAATGGAGGCGGCGCTGTCGGGACACCAGTACACTACTGCTCTCTGTTCTCACACGGGCCAGCACTTCGAGGAGACGAGGTCTTACTATATATATACTCTTGCTATTGGGCCGGCCTGTGGTCCGGCCTTTGAACAGGTCCCGGCCCATTAGTTTGTTCCCTGTGATATTTTGCGTGATCGTTGCGGTTGAATTTAAATTGATTTATGCATACCAGAAAAATCCGTCACGTGATTATATTAGTACTAGCTAGTTTGCAACGATATTGAATTATTGCTAGTGGTAAAGTGAAGAGTGTGGAGAGATTTTGATACGCTGATTGCTGTTGGCACTATACTTGTATGTGCTGCAAACATGTGATCAGCCATGATTCATGGCAACAGGATTTCCAAGCCGATGCATGCATCATGCCACCATTACTTTGGACTTATTTTCAGAGCCCTGAGTGATGATGGTGTTCTAAGAGATGAAAAACAGTGGACGATTTGTTAGAACGTAACTCTCCTGTGTCATCAGATATATTCAGACACAATGGCGCCGGCTCATCACAGCCACTAATTTTTCTCCCTTTCACGTTTGAACCTGAAAGGTCGCTATTCACCGGCTCACAGCTGCTCCATCGGTGTTGAAGTGGCCGCTGGAGGTGGCGACGCCGACGACGACGTTGAAATGAGGTTTAGGATTTGGGCTAGCTGCAGCTGGTACCGACGACAATGTGCGTACTTCTTTGGCTGAGATCCCTCCGGTGACCGATGCCGGCCGATACCCGATTCGATTGCCCTGGCCGCGCGCGGCCGCTATTGAAAACCGATACGTCACGTCACCTAACACGTGGGGTACACCGTACACCCAGAAAACCGATGCACTGTCCGTCTATATGGCGGATGCGGGCACACGGTGCGCGGCGACCTTAGCGGAGGGTTTTTCCGGCAGAACGTCGCACTGCTTCTGCGGCGTCTGGGGTACCGCGTAGCTATATAGGCTGGCCCATCTGGATCATTAGCACAGCATTAGTCACATGGCTTCGAGTACCTTTAGCACCGGGCCTCTTAGCTGACGCAAATGATTAATGATTTATAACTATTCTTCACCACAAGAAACTAGAGCAACACAGATTTAACTTTCATTTATGAGATTCAAACTTTGTATTCTGTCCGAAGCTACAAGAAATATGATCATCAATAGTTTGATTCCACATGCTATGGGTAAAATATACGAGTAGTAATCATAAGGATGCTTCAAGGCATCGTATGCTTTGGCCGAGTCTAGACCACGTCAAAAAAAAATACTGTCACATTTACAGTTCCCGCAATGAAAAACGATGGTGAAAACCATCAACTAAAGCCCTGTCAATCCTTGCATATGCTTCTTCATCGCACGGTCTCTCCGGTGATGGTTATCCCGGCCACCACCTCTCCTTCCACCTCTGCCTCCACGAGGTGCAGGCCCTCCTCGAGCGAAGCCCTGTGCTGCATCTGGATCTTCATGGTCCTCCGCTGGATGGTCATGGTTCCTGCCTCCTCTTGTTGCGCCACGGCCAAATCCACGTTGGCCATTCGGGTTCTCGTTTGCCTCTGGCTGGTTGCCGTGATTTCTGCCCCCTCTTCTTCCACCACGGCCAAATCCTGGTGGCCCGTTTGGGTTCTCGCCCTCCGGCGGTGGGTCGCCGTGATCCCTTCCACCTCTTCTGCCATGATCGCCACGGGGATATGAGCCTCCTCTGCCTATGTTGGAGCCTCCTCTGCCGAAGTTGTTTGCATTGCTACCCTCCTCTTCCTCCATGTCTCTGTGTTGTTGCCTGTTGGGAACTCCAAGAGGTACATTTCCACCACGGCCAAGACCATGAATGGTATCTTTCTGAACATTGCGCAGGACAGCCGCTTCTCGGGCACTAGATACAGCAACTGAACCAGCAACCTTGTAGCTGTAGTTCTTCCCGTCCTTAACATAAAACTGTGTCTTCTTTTGTGAGCTCCACCGTGGGCCCTGTGAGGAACTCTCGGCATCATTGGCACCATCAGTTTCCTCATAACTTGATTCTACCACACTGAAGCCAAGATCATCGAACGAGTCATCATACTCATCATCATATTCATACTGGGATTCAAGCACAGCTGATCTAACAGCATCTTTTGCTTTCTGTGAGTCTAGAGTTGCAGAGTCAGGCACGTCGTCATTGGTCTTCCTTGTAAATCTACCTTGCGGGACTGATGGTACAGATGAGGATGGTCCCTGGGATGCTGATGGAACTGAAGAAGATGAAGAATGTTCAACATAGCGATGCATCTCAGTATTAACCTTATGGGGTTTGTTCATAATTTGAGGCTCAGTCTCCACAAGTATTCCTTTGCCCTTATCTTTCCCAACAGTGGCTGCAGGCTTTAGCTGCGGCATCTCTTCTAATGAAGTATCCAGAGCTAGAAGATCTTGATGGAGGGTTCCATCTAAAATCCTTTGGATAACTTCCTCTGGGTTCTGGTTGTAGGCTTCCAGGCATGCAGCGAGGAAACCCTTCCCATAATCAGGAAAGAGGTCCCTTATTTGAGTAATCTTGGACTCAGTGATGGCAGTATCCTCATTCTTATGTTGTAGTTCACCACCATAGGAAGAGACAGGCAAATCAGGCACACTATTCCAAGATGTCAGAGTAGATCCACACAAGCGTGCAATGAACTGGAACTGCTCATCATCCATGTGTATCCATCCTGTTTACGATTGGAGGAACATATTGAATACATCAACCAAAGGTTTTGGCATCAATATAAAACTATGACACAATCAATAAACTTGAGATAACAAGAAAATACAGCATATATGTCAACAGAATAATGCTGACAGTTTAGCAAACTCTTTCAGTCTTCACAACAGAATCTAGCCAAAACAGAAAAAGTGATGTCTTATGAACACAACTCAAAAGTGCCAGAATGATCAAACGCGAGCAGAAATAAAATCAAATGTAGGGTAATACGGGAATATTATTGGTGAACTTTATGAGAACAAAACAACAGAAGCTAGAGCATCTTTTCCTTTTACTAGCCAAAAGTCCATGCGTTGCAACGGAAAACAAATTGAGTTTCTAGTTAAGTCAATTAAGCACATAGTTAATCCAAGTAGTACTTTTATGATTTTCCTTATTGAACAAGTAGGTGATTCAAAATTTGGGGAGAACCAGCAGTGAAATAGGAGGACTTGTTGGAGGGTGATGTAATAGTATAGATTGTGGGACCCAAATGTCAGTGGTAAGGATGGTGTGGCAGAACAGACACCACCACGTATACATTTTAAGTAGTATAGATATAAATATAGATAAGATTCTGTTTTGGCTCTTTCTCTTTCCATTCATTGAGATCAATATGCTGGATCAAGCTGGAAGTTTTAAGCTTTCTAAGAACCACTCATGCATAGATGGCGAGAGCAGGCATAGTAACAGAATATAGAATCATAGGCAATTCAGTACATATATGTAGAATAATTGTATGACAACTTCTGAATAAAGTTCCTAGATCGTATATGTTGTTTATGGATGAAAAACTAAAGAGACAATTTTGGCTGAAATAATAATAGTGGGATACTAAGGTTGTGTGGAATTTTACAAACATGAAAATAACCAAGCATTTAATTGAGATTTTTTATCATTTACCTTTCTTTCGAATATCTCCAATCCGGTTCATCAACTTGAACTCCTTTTCAAGAGCTTGGAGGAATGTCTTTCCAGGATGATCTTGTGAAAATGTGGCTTCTCTATTGATATCCTTGAGTGTTTGAATTATGATGTCACCCCTGATCATAGGATCTTCGACTTTAGCTGGAAACATCTTTGTACAAGCTTCAACATCACGCTCCACAAGTTGATTGTTCAAATAGCAGAACTCCAATAATCTCCATCCGAAACTGACAGTTCTCCTTGACAGCATCCTTATACCAAGAACTATGTCACTCAGTATAATGTCAGATGCAGTCTCTCCATTGCTTTGGGAACTGGACATAACTTGAAACCCATGAAGCAAAGATGGCAACAATGAGTCATACAATCTTGGAAGAGTGTTCAGTAGTTCCTCAACTCCATAGCTGCAAATTAAGTGGTAGATAAGCATCATTGCCTATTAAGGGAACAGCGAACAAATATTGTGTTGGATGAGTAGAAGCGCACCTCGTCTCAAAAGAGGTACAAAATAATAAAGCAGCAGGTTGATAAGCATCGACAAAGGCATCCAGAGTGACAATTGCATCGTTTACAAAATCCAACACCTGAAGGAAGTTGGATTTACAACAATATAGAAAAATCAGATGAAAGGACAGCAGACATATCATAAACTATGCAGTATAGGTAAAACTTGCCTCTGAGAAATCTTTCTGAAGTTGGGTATATCCACTATCATTCGGTCCAGATGAAGTGAGCGCCTAAAATGAATTTATTATGGTTAAGTTCTTTTTATGCATAGTTCTCCAAGATCTTCTGTAAACTACTAAACTGTCATCAGATCAGGAAGGTGTGAAACTACAAGATCAAGTTTATATCAATATCATAGGTCCTCAACTTTTAATCGTGGTGAGAAAACATACTTCAATCTCAATTTAGGATAAAAAAGAAACAGAGACAAATTAATAGTAAACATCATAATCGTCACTTTCTATCTAACCTACCAAGCAATGTATCATGGTTGTTGAAAGGAACTGGGAAGAAAGTATTTGAAACAATAACAGATATAACAAGTAATAACAAGTATATTCGTCAATAGCACAAATGAATAACCTGAATCCTTTGCAGAAAACGATAAAAGTTTTAGCATATGCGATTGGGACTACAGACTAAAGTGAAAACAGCTGTTATAATGATATCATATGGATGTTCATACCAGATAAAGGAATACAGAATCCTATAACAGCTATGTGCAGTGATTTATGAAGAAGATCACAAAATAACCTGTAATGATTTCATGCACCTCTCCTGCATTGTGTGGAAAATGCCCAGGAATTGGGGAAGGACAATATTAATGCCATCCAGAATATTTGGCTGGACATTGATAGCGTTTTCAACCTACAGATACAGAAAATGTGCACTTGTTATTAATAAAATTATAAAAGTATTCATGCCAATGAATAGAAAAAGGTTATCTGAGACTAAGGGAATGAATTAGAATTTGCATTTAAGTTAGCATCTGTCTGCAAAATGAAAAGGAGAAAAACAACAACAATAATAAACACTTCAGGAACCAACCAGTGAACTTGTCAATTTGCAATTGTCATGCCCATAAATAGCACAAATGTCCAACAACTTGGGTAAATCAAGCAATCTTTTCTCCTGCAGGAGGGCTACAACCGAACAACGTGAATATAGTATATTTGAACCAATGGTCACTATCCATTCTGCTCTAAAAAAAGGTAAACTCAAACAGTGATCATATGAGTAGTTCTAATCTCACCTGCATGCTCCTTCATGCTAAGGGATTCACCCCTGAATGCTCCAGGATCCTTGTTTGAAGATCTACCACCCAAACAAGAGCCATATCATGACAAATCTCATGTGAATCTGAACAGTGTGCATTATCTTATGAAAAATATGTATACAAGAAAGATAGCGAAATGGTATAAATCTCACATGCGGTACAGGACCATAAAGACTCGACGGCAAAGCTCAAGCTCCCCGACAACTAAGCCAGCAACTGTCCCTTTGGGTGCACGATGAGGCAAGTCATACCACCGATGCCTGAATTGTAGGTAACTGTCCAGGAACTCATGCAGGGAAGTATTCTGTGCCACTGGGAAAAGGTAACGATAAGCATTAGGAAACCATTGGTAAAGTTCAAATGCACGCGGATTTATTCATAAGTTAAATTCTAGGAGTGAAACAATGGATAATCACAGATCTAGGCGTGTCCTCAACTCAAGCTTTTATGTTGACTCATCTACTCGCTCAATTATTGTTCAGGCTTAGTTTGCATAAGAAAAAATGCCAAATTCCTCTGATTGTAGGGTAGTTATTCCTGTCAATCTGAAGTTCCTGTCAATCTGAAGGGACTAGGATTAATTCCTTCCCATTAAAACTATTTCAAAGGATCATAGGTCATGATAGTGATAAGAATATGATTGCATAGGCTTTGCTTTGCTTATGCAACTACTAGCCACTTCAACTGCAAATGTAGTAATAAATTTAACTGCACGCATTTTATCTTGCGCTTAAAAGTGCAAACTGACATTTGAACAAGCATACACTAGAATTTTACACATAATCCGTAGCCTTAGATAATCACAGAGACCGAAGCATCAGAAGATGCATTCAACAAACACAATTGAAGCAAACAAGCAGTAAACACCGAACATTAAGTGGTTAACTAGTTATCGCTTCCAAGCTTTCAGCTCTGATTTCCCAATCCCAAAATAACAATTCACGCCTTCCAGCTACACGGTTTCATGAGCACAGTAATGCACAAGCGAGCGTTTCGGTTACCCTGGCGCCAGAACTCGCGGGGCTTAGCGCGGAGGAGCGCGGCGAGGGCATCGTTGAGGAGGTCGACGACGGCCTGCGACTCCTGGGCGTCGGGCCCGCCGAGCCCGGCCGCGACCACCTCGTCGTGCGGCAGGTACGCCACGAACCCATCGGCCTCTCCGCCCACCCTGCCGGCGCCAGATGCAGACGGGGAAGCCGATGATCGGAGGGCGGTGGTGAGCGTCGGCGGGGGCGAGGGTTTAGGTGCGGCGGGCTTGGGGACGTAGCGCTGCTGCGGCTGCGGCTGCGGCTGCGGCTGCTGCTGCTGCTGGCCGTGGTGGTGCCTCGGGGCGGCGTTGTTGTGGCGGCGGTGGTTGTAGGAGGGTTTGGATTGCTGCGGCGGCGGCGCGGACGACATGGCTGGATCGGGGGGAGGAGGGAGAAGGAGAAGCCGTCACGGCGTTTCAGGACAGGGAGAGGAGTAGGCTTTGTAGATTCCGGAGGGGTTTCCCGGAATTTTGGGGAGACCCAAGGTTTCTTGTGACAATGTACAATATTTAAATTGCCATGTGACAATTTCCACCTTTAAAAATTGTAAAAATTGGAAGGGGCGTATTTCGATCATTTTTGTTTTTTTTTTCGTCTCAAGCTCTTCATATGATTTGGTTTATAGTTTGTATTTTGTCTGTTCACCCTGTCGGGTAGAAAATCAAAATACTAAGCCATGTTTTATGAAAGAGTGCATATCTGAATATTAGTAGGAGCAGTACTACTATTATTTAGGCAAAATGTGCTCTAAGACACTCAAATTTTATAGCCTTTGTCGTAGAACACCCAAAAAACGTGTATTTATTGCATTACAAATTTGTACTTTTCGCTTTGTTGGACTCTTCTATCGAGGGAGTGAGAATGGACTAGGTCTGGTTTGGTTCAAACAAAGTTATCTTACAAGCCGATTGACACAAGGGCAAAATTGTAACTTTTCTCTTGGTGTAGGTCTGATCCGAACTAGATCTGGTTGGGTTAAAAAGAAACATGCACCATAGGTAAAAAGTTGTCTTTTTTGAAAGTTTCTCTCTCCATTTAGATCCGATATAATAAAATAATACGTTCAGCATCCACCAGCTAATTACCATGTTTTTAGTGGTGTCATGTAATAAATACACATTCTTTGGATGTCATACAACAAATACCATAAACTTTGAGGATCCTTTTTTGCCTGATATTTATGGCGAATTGAGGATACCTTAGCTACTAGTAAGGTTTCTTATGATGGAACCTGCTAATCTAAGTTTAAGTTCTAATTTTAGCACGAATACTTGTATTTACAGCTACTACCTCCGTTTCAAAATATAGCAAACTATGATGGGATGAGACCCATCTAAGACTATGAATCTGGACATGAGACATGTCCGGAAGGAGTAATTATTTTCACTGGTAGCGATATACATGTTGACAGCGAGTCTATGATGTGCTTGTATTTATAGCTAATTATTTTTAGTGGTGGACAACGTACCATATTACTTGTGGTGACTTCGTCGAACTCAAAATTTGTAGGTATATACAGACACCAGTGGTGACCGGTAACCTCGTCAATCTTAACATATTACTAACTCAATCTTCAAAAGTATTCATTAGAACCAAATGTACACGTGTGTATTATATAAGAGTGAGCTTATATGTCTGTGATGTTTTCATCGAGCTCAAGATATACGGACCAATTTTTTTAGAGGTGCTCATGAGATAGGTTAAGTACGTATGCATTAAGAACAAATTCGATAAATGAATGATAAATCAGCAAAAATTAATTATCAAAAAAAGACACTAATATTACTTCGCCATTTGGTGAGATTGTGGTTGCATAGAGCTAGCGTAGAAGATTAAGAAGCAATAATTCAAAAAAGATGAATAAATAAAATAAATTTAGACGATTCAAAAAAGATGAATAAATAAAATAAAATTAGACGATTAAGAAGTCAAAAATTAATTATCAGAGCCAGGTTTCGATCCTGGGACCTGTGGGTTATGGGCCCACCACGCTTCCGCTGCGCCACTCTGATGGTGTTGTTTAGGATGTTAAACGTTTCTAATTTAAACAATGCTCTATAACTAATCATTCGGCTAAGAACACTAAGGCATCGTTCGTTTAGGGGTGATAGGGGAGATTGGCTCTCGTTTTCCGCGCGCACACTTTTCAAACTACTAAACGGTGTGTTTTTTGCAAAAAATTTCTATAGGAAAGTTGCTTTAAAAAATCATATTAATCCATTTTTAAATTTTAAAATAGTTAATACTCAATTAATCATGAGCTAATGGCTCACCTCGTTTTGCGTATCTTCCCAATCTCCTCAATCCCCTTCTCCTCAAACACTCCCTAACTCATTCATTATTAGGTATAAGAACACTAACTCATCCATTCTCGAACACTAACTCATCCATTATCCATTCTCGAACACTAACTCATTATACATTCTCGAACACTAACTCATCATTCTCAGTATAATAACTTCACTAATCATTCGGTATTCAGATATAATATAAGAACTTTCTATCTCAGATTTTTTCCGTTTGTCAACTGAGCACAGCCTGCGATGTGTAACAATCGAATGCTATATATCTCCCATAAATGCTCGAAGAAAAGCGAAAAAGTACAAGGACGATATTACAGTGCTTTGGTATGTTAAGCATTTTTTTATACAAAAAGTCAGACTTCATAAGAATACAAGTCCGCGTAATTTATAACTCAGATAGCAAAACATCGGGAACAACTAGCACTACAGCAAAACTAATACTATGAAAATATAGAAATCTCAGATGAAAAATACACTTCTGATTCTAGCCAGCTGTTGGCTCCTCACATAACAATTCGATTCAAGGGTTCAATTGTTCGTTTTGCATTGCTCTGGCCTCTGGAGCACACTTAACATCTATAGTTAGAACACATTATCTACTGTAAATCCATCACTTGGAAATTCCAAGGTGTGGGGATATAGGATGTCGTGGAGATAGTAACCATCTGATTCTTCAGCTCAACTCGTTAATTGCATCAAGATGAGTATCGTATCAATATTCACAGTTTACATCCTACGGTTCAAGCTCTTTGTTTTCCTGAGTTGATTTCCCAGTTTTCTGTGCTTGACTTTCTTTCTTGCGCTGCATCGATTATTAGAGAGAAAAAAAATATGAGGCAAAGCAGAACTCAATTGAGGTAATTTGATCTAGCCTAAGCTCTATGTGCAGAAGTTAGAAAAGCGGAGAACATAAGCCACATAAACAAATAACAATGGCAAAATTGGTTCTAGAGCATCCAAAGTTCATGTGTTTTAATTTTAAAGCACCGAAAGTTAATGTTCACTTTAATAGCACTGAAAAGTTCCCTCCATTCCCGCTCTTAGCACTCCCGTTTCTTTGGGTGAGAGATGGGGTTCCAGCTGCTTGATTTAGTTGATCTGAAGATGTGTTCGGCTATTTCAGTTGAAAGGAGGATAGGGTTGGAATTTCAGGTGCTTGAATGAGTCAATTTCGGTCAAAACTGACGTCACATGCAAGAAAAGAAACGGGAGTGCTAAGAGTGGGAACGGAGGGAACTTTTCGGTGCTATTAAAGTGAACCTGTAACTTTCGGTGCTATAAAACAAAAACATGTAAACTTACGATGCTCTAGAACCAATTCTGCCAATAATTTAATAAAAGATCCCATGGATTCAGTTCATGCAGCACAGAGAGCTAAAAGGGCCTCAGGTGCTGTTTTATCAAATATATATATATGATTAATTCTGGTTTAAAAAACTGTGGTTTAGTTCTTGAAGTCACAGGCACACAGTGGAAACCTATCTACCGCTGTCGCCATCTCCTCAATATCAGCAATCTAATGGATGAATTTAGATATCTCCTCAATATTAGTAAATGCTTATCATTAGTAAAACATGACAAACTCTTACAAAGAACTGCTATTCTGCCAGTCATGTATCAACCAAAAAAGAAAGGTACAAGAATTTTAAGCAATAGAGACATTAATAACTGCAACCAGTTAATAACAGCAAGAGATTCAGCACTCAATAACAAGACAGATTAATCTCCCATCATCTTTCAATTAGTTCTTTTTTTCTCTTGCATCTATAATGAACTACAGCATTTGGTTCATGGTGAAATATCAACAGATCACTTAATGGAAGAATAATGATGAGGTCAGCAGCTCCAAGAGAATATTTAGGGGAAAATAGCATCAGAAGTGTAACATTTCATTTTCAAAGTATTAGCATGTCGGTGAGCGGCATACCTTCGGAAGAAGTCCTTCTGCAGACATCAGCTCATATAACTTGCGCATGATTGTTTCTTCTTCCACCTGTACAGACCAACATTTTCAAAGTATTACTATCTAAAAAGTTACTTCCAAGACATAGTGACGCCTCATACTCCAATACTCTCCATATAAAGCTCACCTGAACTTTATGCAACTCGTGGGACATTGCTCGGTAAGTTTCCATTAGGGCTTGATTTTGCTTGTCCAAATGCCTGCAGATCCCTTGTAAGTAGTGTAATGAACTAAAATCCTCAAGAATTAAGGGACGGAAAAGAAATTCTTACTTGGACATTTCAGCTGAATGCTTTGGTTCCATTCTCACCAACAGCCTGATACCAGTTCCTGCAAATTGCTTTACATTTTAAAAATCATTTAAAAGCAAGCTAGAAAGTTGACCGTTATTTTATATTAATTGAGGAATTCTGAGTTCACGCCTTGAGGGTGCAGTGAGGATGGAATCGTACTGCTACATTATGATCTCATTCAAAAAAAAATGAAACAAATATATGCAATTGTATTTGTTTCTTACGCATAGGAGAGCTGCCCTGGTACCCTAGGATGCAAGGCTCAATTCAGCAATGAACGACACATGAATGACATGATTATTTGATTTGACATCTAAAAACATTGCACATATAGTCCGATGTCATCTTGTCATTCTGGTTTTCTAGAATCAAGACACATTTTGTTCTCTCTTTATTGGAAATTTAAAAGAACTAAGAAATAGCTAAGATGAAAAAAAAAACAACATGTAATCAAATGGACATGGCAGGCTGCTATTTGACATGGCTATATTTCAACGGAACACAAAGCTCGTTGAGGTGCTAGAGAACAGTTTACATACTACACGGGCCCAGTAAATTTTCGTGGGGGCATGGACACATCACGAGTTATTAACACCACTGTTCATAAATCATAGTAGTATAGTATTATTTTGAGAATATCATGCGTCCAAAATATCCTATAGGCACAGTTGCAATACAATCTGCAGGGGCAATGGCGGGACTAACATGGGGGCAATGGGGTTGAGATGAACCCTAAATAACAGGAATCGGCGTATGAAGGGGATGGGCTAATTGGAGGGAAACTGGGGGAAAAAAAATCGATCTCCTATCTACGCGACGCTGACTCATGAAGTGGGCGCCGAGGAGGGAGGAGGGATACGAGAGAAGAACCAATAATACCTTAGTTCGATTCGAGCAGCGATGGAGGCCGGCCGTGCGCGCGAGGAGGCCGCACGGGGTGGAAGCCTGAAGCAGGCTAGGGCGAGTTCAGGAAGAAGAGGGGACCGTGCTCACCGCGCCGCCGATCTGCTCGCCGGCCGCGGACACGATGAGGCGAGGCGGAGCAGGTGCACGACGGCGCGGAGCGGGGCGGCGGCGTTGGAGCTCTGGCTCACCGTGCTCAAAAGTCAAGACAGGCAGGAGGTCGATTGTGGGGCGGGGCCGTGCAGCGCTCTGCTACCGCCTGCCTGTGGGTCATATGCACAGGCCCATGAGGCTGGAAAGAAGAAATTTTTCATCTCGGAAAAAGTTCACCTAAGGTCCCTTTTCTTGACGTCGAGTTTTAAAACCGTTCCTGAACTGAAATACCAAGATACAATGTATGTCACATTTGGTCCCAAGGCAGTATTACTCTATGATTTTGGTGACATGGCGGTTGAATCAGTGTGGGGCCCACGTGAGCGCCACATGTCAGCCATCAATTTTCTTCCACCTCTCTCGACTCTCTTCTCATATCAACCCAAACCTCTAGGGCAGCCGACAACGGGTGGGGAGAAGGGTGCCAGCCGGCGGGGACAAGCTCGACGGCGGAGACTGCCGGCTAGTGTGGCTCCCAATAGCCGGGAGTGCTCGTGTCATGTACCTGACTGCGCACCCAACTGCAATTGCAATGTATTCACCTGCACACACAGGGGCTGGGGCTTCCGCCACGTCATGCTGCCCAAGCTCTTATTCCCCAAACTCAGAGCCATCTCCACTGAGCTGCTCAAAAGCCGATTTGTTTAGGTGTCCTCGAGCTTTGTCTCTCCCCCGCGGAGGCGCACGCACAGCTCCACTGCATCATCTTCGAGGTCAACTCCATTTACTCCACGCTGTGGTCGCGTCATCCTCAACGCTTCCGCCCTTCTTCCCGCCACCCGCCACCGTCAAGCTTCTCGCCGGTCGCCAGCCTTCTCCCACCCATTGCCGGCCGTCACCGTCAGGCTTCTACTTGGCGTCGCCGCCCAACGGCCGCTACTCTTCTCCCCTCCTGTTGTCGGATGCCCCAGAGGTTTGGGTTGAGATGGGAAGAGAGAGAAGATAAATGGAATAAGACTCAGCCGCCACATCATCAAAACCGAGGAGTAATATTGCCTTGGGACCTAATGTGATCTGATTTTACAAGATTAGATATGTGTTATGTCTAGTATTTCGGTTTAGGGATGATTTTGAAACTTGATGACAAGATAAGAGACCTCACGCTCACTTTTTCCTTTCATCTCTCTCGTTGCTTTTCTTTTAAGAATAGTAAACCGACTAGCGAAGGTGTTCTGCCAATTTCTCAGTAGTTTTCACATTCCGTTGCCCAAAAATAAGTTCTTCCATGGCAGGATCTGCTGTACGAGGAGGCAAGGAGCGAAATGGTAAAAAAGAACTCGATCAATGAGGTATATAATTAAGGTTGGCCATCCTTTGGGAATGAATCAAATGGATTCAGGATGGAAAAATGTACTGTATCAACAGAAGTAGAAGAAAAAAAAATATGTATTTCTGCGCCAGCTGCAAAGAACCATAGCTTGAGCTAGCGTCCGTGGCGCCATGGCTGGAGTACGTGGATCATTGCTGCTGCGGTGGAGAGATCTTGAGGTCGAGCCCGACGTTGACCCCGTTGTACGCGATCGGCGCGAACATCCACATATCATCCGAGCTCAGAAGCTGCGCAAAACGATGAATCCCATTGCTTTAGCTTATGGAAGATTAGAGACCAACGCGCGAATTGAAGCAAAACTTGGGCTCTTGGATTCGAATCAGGGGTCTTATGGTTACCTTGATTTGGAGCTGCAAGAACTTGACGTAGTGAACTGCTTCTTCAAGCATCGTGCTGATGTCCACCTGAAAAAAATAACAAGTCCTCGCATGATCAGAGCAATTCAGTATCGTGGAGGCTTTTGTGGAGTATTGTGATTGATGCGGTTTTGGAATCAGATGGTTTTTAAGTAACTTACCTTGGTTCCATTTGGGATAAGATTCTGCAGTATCTTTAGCCGTTCATTGATCCTTTCTCTCCTCTTCTGTTCAAGCAAGACAGTTAAAAAAAAATTCAGATTCAGATGAGCAACAAAAATGTGCAGCAACTCGCGCATAGTTCTACCTACCCTGGCATAGAGGCTTTGCGGATCGGTCGCCGCCCCGCGCCCGGCCCTCGCCTTCGCGCCGCCGTGCCCGGTCGCCGGCGATGACAACGACGACTTCTTGGACGCCGAGCTCACGTTGCTGCACGAAGTCATCTCCAGCGACAGCGAGTCGTCATCAGAGAGGTAGTTGGTGCTCGAGCTCTGCACATTGCCGCCGTCGCCGCCGCCATTGCTCTCCTTCTGGTTGCTGCTCCGGCTGCACGCGCCCTTCTGCGCCTTCTTTGACTGCGCGTTCTTATTACCCTTCTTCTGCACCACCTGATGCACACATCGTCAGGAATCTTAATCCGATTATTACGAAAGATTAATCAGTTCATTAATTGTACATTTTTTTTGTACTTACTGTTGCTGCCGTGGAGCGCGCCTTCTTCCTCGCGACGTTGTCCGTGCAGCTCTCATCCTTGTGATCCTCAACCTTCCTCTTGCACGCCGGTGTCATCTTGGTGGCGGCGGCGGCGGCGGCGGCGCTGCTCCCAGCGCCGCCAGCATCGCCGCCGTGCTGGTCCTCGAACTCGAGGTTCAGGTCCACCATGAAGCTCGGGTCGGCCACCAGCTGCTCCTCCGGCACGAAGAAGTCGCCGCCGGCCACCATCGCGCCGCCGTCGTAGCACCCGTAATGCTGCTGCTGCTGCATGTAGCAGTATGGCGCCGAGCCGTAGTACTGGTCGGCCGCGTCGTGCGCCGGCCAGTACATCGCCGGCGGCGCCGCCGCCGCCGGCTGCTGCTGCTCCTGGTCATTGCCGAAGTACTGCACGCCGAGCAGCTGCGCCATCGCCTCCGAGTCCTCCATTGCGACTGACGGATCGAACGAGTGCCAGCTCGCCTCCGAGGACTCCATCATCTCCAATGGCGAAGAAATCTGTAACAAAATATGATCTCGTAGATGGCCATACCTGTCCTAGTATTTATATAGCAGGGGCACTATTTTTTTTTTCATCAGTTCAGGAACAGAATGTTCGAGCGTACAATTCTGACCATTCATAATTTAATTCGAAACATTTTGGGAAAACTACTGCACAGTTGGCGATGCCAGACAGCTAACAAAAACCGCTGAAATTCGTGCAAAGACGAATAGAAAAAACACAAGGCCGCGAATCGCACATAAAAAACACCATTTCGTCCGTGCAATGAGGGCGATTGAATTTGGGGTGCAATGAGTGAGAGACTAAGCTAATGATTAGGTGACTTACATACTAGAGTAATGAGCAGAGCTGGTCTTATTATGTCAGTGATTTGTGTTGGATGGTAGGACTGTAGTTGGAAGAAAAGAAATAAGAGAAAAAAAAATGGTCGTGAAGGAGTTGGCAAGATCGTGGGGAAGAGTTTCATGTCATGTCATTATAATTTCAGAGTGAAAATAAATGTGTTTGTTTCAAATCATGGATTCTGATCTTTTGCCTCCCTATATAGGAACTTCAGATAATGCTAACTAACAAGGAATAATTTTGTGTGTTTTTTGTTTGTGGGCTAAAGTCGGAGGGACAGGGAAGCTGGTTTGCTAGTGATTGGTGAAAAATATTTGGATTAACTTATGATCCGTGCGCATTCGCTTGTTAGTCGCCTAGATCACGTCGATGCATTATCAGTTCTCCTGCCGGCGAGAAGTGATATCTTTGAAGCTAGCGAAACTGTATTGTTCCAGTTGTTAAAAAAACGTCGAGAGAATATATATGACAAAACAAAATAATGTATTAAATGTATTAGGATTTGTCATGACAAAACAAAATGACATTGTTTGTCATGGAGATATCACTACACTTTCATAAAAGTACAACAGAGAAGAGTGTACAAAATCGTGCAGAAGTATATTTACATGTTGCCAATAGATATTGGTGGTGATTCCTTACATTCCAAACTCCAAATAGTACATGCATTGTTTTTTTTAGAAACTCTTATAATTTGCTCTGTTGAAACTCTAATTACAAAATATAGTAATTATCATTAATCTTATTGTATTTCATAATAATTAGTAATAAAACAGATTAATTGTCCTAATAAACACTAACTAGCTGGGTGGCCCGCGCAATTGCGCGGCTAGCACCCAAACAAAATCATATATTTTCCAGTCTGATTTTACTTAAAATTTATTAAATAGCTATCTCGTTGTCTTAAGACTTTGAAAGACAAAACCTTATCATCCACGTATTTCTAATTATATAGCTTTTAAAAGTCACACCAGCTGCTACCCCTTACTTCTGTCATATCCTTCTTTATTTGCTTACTCGATTTATCACTATTTTTATTCATTCTCTTTGAAACCTTTAAAAATTGGATCTTATAATTTTTAAAGTTTATTGTCTCGTTGGGTTTCGTTTTTATAATTTCTAGAAGTCCAGTCAAACACTGTCATTATACTCCTCTACAACCCGTCCACTGTCTTTTCTCTTTATTGTCATTGGGATTTTAAAAATCGAACATAATTATCGTTCGGGTTCCGCCAAACCGTTAGCGGCTTTGCCATTGTACTCCTTTATGGCTCGCCCGCTGCCTCCATTCTTTATTATCATTGAGATTTTAAAATCGAACATAGTTATTATTGGTTTTTTTTTTACTTTTTAGAAGTTCCAAACCTTTAAAAATTGGACCTCGTAGTTTTTAGAGTTTATTGTCTCGTTGGGTTTCATTTTTTTTTTAATTTTTAGAAGTCCCGTTAAACGATGCCACTATACTCCTCTACGGCCCATATGCCGCCTACTCTTTATTGTCATTGGGATTCTAAAAATCGAGCATAACTATCGTTGGAATTTATTTTTTATTTTCTAGAAGTCCCGCCAACCGTCGGCGGCTTTGCAGCTATACTCCTATACACCCCGCCCGCTGCTTCACCTTTTTATTGTCATTGAGATTTTAAAAATCGAATATGATTATCAATGAGGTTCACTTTTTAACTTTCTAGAAGTCCCAACAACCGCCCTGCCCATTTGCTTCACGGCCTGCATGTCGTCCCTCCTTTTAATCGTTATTAGGATTCTATTTGGTGTTTTATTAACAGTTTTTATATATCGTATCAGCCGTCAACACTCTACTCTTTTATAGGCCTGGTACTTAATATATCTTGTCATGTGTTTTAGATGGTCTTTTCTTTATAAATTGTATTCCTAATTAAAATCTTTTTTTCATTTTCTTATTTCAGAATTTATTTTTTTCAAATTTTAATTAATATCGCATAGTGTTCTTTTAATATTTTTATTTTTTTAAAAAAAATCAATTGTTTTAAAATTGTATTTCTACTTGAACTCTCTTTTAATTTTGTCTAATTTTGGATATTATTTTATTTTTTATTCTAAATTTTAATTAATCTCGTATAGGGTTCTTATGTGAATTCTTCTTTCAATATTTCTTATTTTTTAATTCCGAATTTCAGTTAATTTTAAATTGTATTCCTAATTGAATTCTTCTTTTCTTTTTGCTAATTTTGGATTTTACTTTTATTTTTGAATATTAATTAATCTCGTATTAGATTCTTATATGGACTCTTCTCTCAGTATTCCTTATTTTTAATTCCGAATTTTAATTATTTTAAAATTGTATTTCTACTTGGACTCTCCTTTTTCTTTTCTAATTTCATATTTTATTTTATTTTTATTCTGAATTTTGATTAATCTCCTATTGGGTTCTTATATGGACTCTTATTTCAATATTGCTTATTTTTAATTCCGAATTTCAGCTATTTTTAAATTGTATTTCTGCTTGGACTCTCCTTTTCTTTTTCTCCGATTAATGTGGGAATTTTTAGTCACCACAGCGAACGTGGTGCCTCCTTTCAAAGTTGTTTTAATAATATAATAGATCTTGAAATGAAAATTATTAATTAACGAAAAAACTAACTATGTCTAATCATTTGCGTTGACAAAAGTGGATGGTCTCATCAATCAATTTAGATGGGGGCTCATCCAACATCTTAAGAGAATATATATTCTCTTCAGTGTCCATCCCATCCCATCCACTCTCGCCCATGAAACAAAAACATGTAAAAATGGGATGATTATCTTTCATCTATTTTCATCCCTTCAACCAAATAGACTCTTAATGGACCAAAAGCTTCAATTTTTTTTCTCTTCAAAAGGCATTCATAGAGGGCTTAACAAGAATAAAGGAAGAGTCTGGAGACTCCTAGCCTCTTGGGTGGCCTATCAACAGTTGGATCCAAACCAATGGGAGCCTTGCCTCGATGTCCAAGCCTGTTGGGAGATACTTGCTAACAAAAAGGAGGTACCCAAGAAAGGCATGCGTAGCTTAATCTTGTTGGTTGTCTGAGAAATCTCGACAGAGAGGAACCGGCAAGTCTTCGAGCACAAGAAGATAGCGACACCTGGCCTCGTGGCGAAAATAAAGGAGGAAGCAAGAACATGGACCCTAGCAGGAGCAAAAAAAGCTCCAGGAGCTCCTTCCAACCTCGGATAGATTTGTATAGATTTTTTTCATTCTTACGCCTAGGGGTTGTATTTTTCTCCTTCTATATTTAATGAAATAGCATAACCTCGTGCCGATTCCTTTTAAAAAACAAGAATAAAGGAAAACAAAATATATGGGGATATTTTCATTTTCTTCAGAAACTAAGCTGTCAGATATTGTATACTTCATATAGTTATTCAGACTATATGTCCTTAGAAAACACATTGTAGTCGCTGAGTTTCTAATTTTAAATTATTTATACAATTTTATATATGTAGGCTCGGAGCCAAGTTTTATTTTTTGAAAAAAAACTTGCAGCAAATTCGCATTGCATCCCCAAACCGAAATATATATATTTTTTATTTTGTTCCTTGCAAAGAAAAAAAAGAAAAGATTAATTTGTTGAAAGAGATGGAGAATAGTTAGAGAGAAGAAACATGAACAGAGCCGTACCAGATATATTCAAATTAGAGCCACGTTATAACCACGTCCAACAAACCAAAACTAAAAACAATCAGAGAGAAAATCGAAGCCATATGTTTGGTCTCCTTCCATCAATAATTAATATTCTAGCGGGGTATACCAGTGGCGGAGCCAGGATTTTAAAGTTGGGTATTCCCGTCTAAGCGTTGAGCCGTTGGCCGCTTCTACCCCTCGCGGCTGCCGGCCACCCAACCGGCCTGACTGCCTGAGCTTGGCGGAGTGGCGGGCGCCACCCGCTGCCCGCCGCGGCAATAGCCTCCCCCTCCGTGGTAGCGCGGTCCAGTTCTCGCCGCCAGTTGCCGCCTCGCCGCGCCGCCGCCTAGGGTTTGGAAATGGGGAGCGGCGCGAGGGAGCCGAGCCAGGGAGGGATGGGTCATGGAGGGAGAGCGAGAGGGGGCCGTCTGGAAGAGTGGTGGCTAAGTGGATCAACTGATGTCTGATGGGTCATATAGGCCGGTTGGGCTGTGTTTGGATCGAAGAATTGAGGATTTAGGTGCACTAATATATGTACATGTGTATAGGGCTATGTTTGGATCGAATAATTGAGGATTTAGGTGCACTAATATGTGTACATATGTATATATTAGAAATATACTTGTTTTTCGATAAAAAAGTTGGGTATTCCCGGGAATACCCGGGAATCATGGTAGCTCCGCCCATGGGGTATACAGTACCGAAAAGAAAATTATCTCCACCATGCTCGGTTGCACTTGCACACGAGTGCAGAACCGCCAGATCGAAAGCTAGCGAACGTATGCTGCTGCGATGGCAAACGGCCGTAGTACACTAGCCTAGCAGGCTAGCACTACTACTCTACTAGGCGTGCCACGGCCTTTGCTACATTTTTCTACCCTGGTGCACACGACGTATCAGGTAGTACCCTGGTGTTGTTTAGATTCCAACTTTTTTTTTCAAATTTTCAATTTTTTTATCACATCAAACTTTCCTA